TCTACGGTACTTGCACTTCGTGCTTTCGAACTGCTAGGTTGGCAGGAGCAGGGACCAAGCAACGGGAGCTCACCCCGTCACAGGGATTCAAACCACCGACCTTCTGATCGGCAAGTCCTAGTCTCTGGTTTAACCCACAGCGCCACCCGCGTTCCTTTGCTGTTGGGTAGAGGCACTTTTTCCCATCAAGCCAGCAGAGGGGAAGGCTCTGATGACCACAGTTTTTGTCTTCACTTGCAATGCTGGCCAAAAATTGTAGACCCTTGCTTTTAGGCTGGTTCCACATTTTCACTCACTGTGATCAGTATGCTGCTGCCCTCTGGTGAGCATTGTGAGTCTTAGCTGCTGCTACCTTGACCTTGGGGAAGGAGCTGGGAATTGTCCTCACAGTGGCCGCAAGATGATCCCCTCTACTCCAAGGCTGAGGTCCTTTGGGCGCTGAATTGCCAATCCACTTGGGGCATCTGGCCAATGCAGGTTGAAACAGAGAACAACTTACGTACCTTCCTTTCCATTGGAGGCCTGATTACCAGGTGATTACCAGGGCCAGTCAAAATTAAGGACATCTGCTGGCGTAATTCTCTCCCTCCAAAGGCAAACCTTTGGACCCATTTGGGATGGGAATTGGAGACTGTATTTCAGTGGTTCTGTTACTACAGGTGGACTGGTTCCAGAAAGTGGTGGGGAACTGTTGCTCTGCCATGGCACTGGTAGTATGAAGTTCTGCCAGTATGAAGTTTATATCTCCCCCTCCCCCAAATGCTCTTTAACATTTATGTTATGCTGAGCGAGGATTTAGGACTGGCTGTCATCCTTTTGACTGAATTCAGGTAGGATAGCGGAAGTTCTCAACAAGTATCTAATGTCAGTGGGTAAGGGCTAAAAATTGACACACAATCCAGGTAAATTGGAAGTCCAATTGGTAGGTGGCTTGTCTGAACAGGGAGGTAACAGTCAACCTGTTCCACTCTTGGTTAAGGGCCAGTTTGCTCCATGGAGTGCTGTTGTATATGGTGCTCACACAGGTGGCACATGCAACGTAATGCACATTTGCCTGGCACCACCTGCAGTCCCTTCCGGATAGAGAGGCTGGCCACTAGTAAGAATTTATGATGCGTTTTAAGACTCCTCTGAAATTTCAACTGGTGCAAAGAACACGACAGCTAGACTTCCTGGAAGCAGGGTCAGTCAGAATCCCTCTCAGTTATTTTAAAACAGTGTCAGTGGATTCTGGCTCATTTCTGGGGTCAACTCAAAAGTGCTGCTTTTAACCTATAAAGCCCTGTTAGGTTTGGGACCTGGGTATTGAAACAACAGTAACAACAACGTGCTCTGTATGAATAATAATAATAATAATAATAATACCTTTATTGTCAATGTACAACCTGTGTACAATGAAATTAACCGAGCCTCCCCCCCCAAACACTCAATCTCATTGCAATCTGTGTGCTTGTCGCACAACACACCAACCCCAAAAGTCAGTTGCACTATATTATTTTCCGTTCAGCAGCCTAACAGCCCATGGATAGAAACTTTTTTTAGCCTGTTGGTACGACTGATTATACTTCTATATCTCCTGCCTGAAGGTAGAAAATTAAAGAGGTGCTGGCCGAGATATGAATTGTCCCTGAGAATTTTTCTCGCTCTCCTAAGGCATCGATCCCTTGCGATGTCATCTAGTGGGCTCAGGGGACAGCCCATGATATCATGTGCTGTGTTCACCACCCTCTGTAAAGACTTTCTGCCCGTGGCTGTCGAGCCAACATACCACGCTGTGATACAATATGGGAGGACACTTTCTATTGTGGACCAGTAGAAAGAGGTCATCAATTGTTGTTTAACATTGTTCTTTCGCAAGACCCTGAGGAAATGGAGTCTCTGTTGGGCCTTCCTAACCACCTGAGTTATATTGTTTTTCCACCTTCACTAAGGTAAACTCCCAGGAATTTAAAGAAAGAGACTCTCTCCACATAACCCCACCCGATATACAACGGGGCTAGTTCCCCCTCTTCCTCCGAAAGTCCAACACCATCTCCTTTGTCATGCTAATATTTAGGTGCAAGTTATTCTCTAGGCACCATGTAGATACTTTTGGAACCTCCCCCCTGTACACTGATTCATCTCCAGCTGTAATTAGACCCATTATGGTACTATCATCTGCAAACTTAATAATTGCAGTAGACGGATCAGAGGAATATTGCCCACACATTAAGATCATCCTCAAGAGGTTCTCCTCCAGTTGCCTCTTCCTTTGCGCATATGGTGACTGGGAAAGAGCCTTATTTATTGAGGTAATGCTGTCCCAGGATGGCTCACCTGGTGCTTACCTTGTGTGAGTTCAGTTGCTGGGTTAAAACTATTCTAGTTGTCAGGGTTTTTTTAATTAAAAAAAATAGTCACATTGACATACTTCTTGCTGTTGCTTCTGCTGCTTTATTGTGCCTTTATTACTGAGCTATTTGTATTTTCATTTTTTAAACTTAATGCTTTCAGAGTTGTTGTTTTTTAATTGAAATGTGAGGCTTAAGTCATTTTAAATCAAAGAATGTGGCATTCAAAGGGAGTCTATATCTCATTTTCCCAGCTTGTTGGGGAGTCTGCGGGTGTTTGATCTTCTGTTTTTGCTCTCTTCACAGAGAGGAGCACATTGCTTCCCAAATGGCCAAGATGCCAGAGATGATTGCAAACTGGTTGCGGGAGAAGGAGGAGCGCAAGACCAAAGAGCTTGAAGAGAAGGAGCGGCGGCAGATGCTCCTGGCTGAAGCCCGTGAGCGCTTTGGTTACAACCTGGATCACCGCAGTGCTCAGTTCCAAGAGATGGTGCAAGAGATGGAGAAGGCTAGAAAGAAGGAAGCGAAGCTGCAGAAGAAGCAGCGGAGAGAGGAGGCTCTGGCCAAAAAGGCAATGCAAAGCGCACCTGTTGCCTCAATCCCAGACAAAGAAGGGGAGGTGGTTGCAACAGACGCATCACATCAGGTCACATAGTCTCTTGGGGCTCTGAAATTGCAGACTCTGGACTGTGCATTGAGTTAACCTGGTGCAGAGGCCCAGCGAGCACATCTCTTGCAACCCTTGATCCTGCCTGAAGGTCATTTCCCAACTCTCTGACCACCGATGAGAGAATATTCGGGTGTTCTCTCCCTATCTCTGTCCCACTTGATCACCAAAAATGGATTTGGAGTAGCAAATACCTTTGCTGCTAATGCTTCTGAATTCCTTGTTGGTGGATCCTGAGGGTGATGATGTCAAACTTTGACTTCTATCTTTCCAGTGCAGTAAACTACCCTCGCTTACTAGCTGGCTGATGTGTGCAGTTACAGACAAATAAATGTACGTGGTATTTTTAACCTTGGTCTTCTTCTATTTTAAATTTAACAGACTAATAACAGGAGAAAGAGCCCCAAACATGCCAAGCCCGCCATGTTGTCTATTTATGTTTGTATTTTGCCCTTCCTTCAAAGAGCACAGAGTGTTACCCTCACAACAAAGCTGGAGAGGTGGGCCAACCTGTGGTTTCTTCCAAGGCCACTCAGTGACCTTCATGGCTAGGCAGGGACCTGAAGCTCTGGGTCTTTGTTTAAACCCAATTCCAGCTCCTGTGCCACTCTGTGTCTTGATTAGTTGCTGTGTGTCCACCTTTTGAAGGGAGGCAAGAAAGTTGGCACTTCTTATGGGGCAAGCGTGTCCTGCTACAAGCACACACAAGCTTCAGTTGTCAATAGAACAAGTGAAGTTAGGGCTTCTCCCCATCTTATTTTAGCAGCTACTTTAAATAGCGCTTGTGTGCTTATTTATAGTACCAGAGTATTCATGAGCAACAAGTCACAGTGATTTTCTTCTTCCTTCAGTGTCTAAAACTATAAAGCAGGCAGCATTATTTGAACATATGAATAGGTGATGTGAAACATCATGTATTTCTGACAGCCCCAGCTTGCAAATGAGCACTAATAATTTATTAATTGCTTTCTTTGCATGTTTTGACACCCAGTCACTCCAGACCCCAATAAACAGCTTGTGGGATTTGACATTATCAGCTGGGCCCTGCGGTGCTATGAACTATCATCAAATGTGCAAACTTAATGGGTTCTGCTTCATTTTGTGTTGGGTAAGTCTTGTTTCAAATAGGATCTGTTTCGCTCCCGAGTTCTTGTTGTGTACTCTGTTTGATGTGATTGTGTTTCAACAGGCAAGGAGCAAATCCCACTCGGAACTTTTCGGTCAGACCTCTGCTGAAACCAGGGACAATTTGCAGCTGGGAAAGGACTGAGATGACTGCAAACCTCTGTCTGCTGAGAAGCAGAGGGTGTATTGTCATGTACAGATACAGTAGTAGCATCAACAGTATCCTGTAAAAAGAGGCAGTAGGCTGCTGTTTCCACTCCAAACTTTTTAGCTGGAAAGGTCTATATGTTGGTCCCTTTTCCACAATGGACAGGCCAAGAGATGTTTGTAGCATGGTGATTGCTTCCCTCTAGTGGAACAATTGTAGATTCAGATCTATCGGACTTCCATTTTCGAAACAGCCTTCATTGGGAGGTGATCCCAAATGAATGAACAGAAAGCAGGGGAAATGAAAGTGATACAGGCCTTTTAAAACTACTGCCCTAGCATGCTTAGCTAGAGTAAGTCTTAAGAACTTGGAGGAAATTCTGAATAGACATTCAGAAGAGGTTCTAATTTTTTAAAAGTTCCTTCCTTCCTAAAAGTCCTTCAGAACTTTATTGGGCAGCTGGAATTTAAAGGGGGAACAGGTACACATAAGATCATCTAAAAGTACGTGGAGGGACACATACATGTTTAGCTCTGTCTCAGTTTTTCTCATGACAAATTTGAGCTCTTCCACAGTGATCACCACGTGGCCATCCATATACAGTTGTGAACTAACCTCCAGCTTTTTCTTCTTTACGTCGACCAGTTAAGCTGCTCCTCCTTTTTGGGGCTGATAAAACAAATGCCTTACTCTTTAACCCTGGACTTTTGTTAAATTAAAGCAAAACACCTTATATAAATTATTTTTATTTTACATACATTTGTCAGAATTAATTAATCACCCAGTGCTGGCACCAAAATTTCTACATAAAGTTTTAAAGACCAAACTATGTTAATAATTAAATTTTTTAAAAAACAAAAAAATCTCCCACCCTTCCCCATCCAGTTAGTAGTAGCAACAGGATTTTGTATGTGTCTGTTTTTCCTTACTTGAGGTGCACTCGAGCTTCAGAAGCAGTGGCGAGCTTCTCTTGCTAGCGGTTCTTTTTTTGGTTAGCATTTTGCTTCGGTTGACTCCCGTACGGTGTGTCTCCTTTTAGCATATTTTCATTTTTTTAACGTCAGCTCTCAAAACAACACCCCCCCCTCAACTGAGTGCCCATAGTGAAAGGCCCAAGTCATAGGCCCACCAGTGTTATCTACACACGATCATGCAAGATGTGGGAAGCATCTTAACTGCAATGTGTGTGTAATTAATGAAAAGCAGGAGAGCGATGCAAAATTCTCGTAAGGAAAGGGATGGCAAGAGATGAAACATTTGACCCACTCTTGCAGATTAAAAGTTGAGTTACGTGTTCAGTTGCAAACCTTGCAGGGCTCTCTCAAGCACATGTCGGACCTATGCTCCTGTGAGTATGGGACAGAGTTGGTCACGGATCACATAGGGAATTTGCAGGAAGTGCCACGTTCTGGACTAAGGTACAGATCGCAAGCCTGCCCAAAGAGAAGGGACAGAGGCACGTGTGTGCATGTTTTTTTTAAAAGGAACACTATATCCTGTTTCTATGGAGCACAGCACATAAGGCAGAGAACAGCTAAGGCAAGGCCTGTTGTTCTAGACGTTTACTCTGCAACACAGATGAGGTAGAGTTACCGTAATTGCCAGTCCTCTTAACATCTGTCCTAAAAGTCTCACAAGGACGACACTGTTTGCGACCCTTCTTTTGTTCTTAGCAGCACCCCTGCATTTTCCATGCAATTAGGGTATGGTGAAATAGTTTAGCTGCTGCTATAGCATAAGCTTCAGTATATTCACATTCTATCTCAGGGGTGGACCTGTGCTGTTCCAAGTTAGAACAAGGCTCCCTACCACAAAGCACAGGACTGTTCTTTATCCAGTTAGTAGCATTTTAGAACCATTTAATCGTTGAGTTGAAAGGGACCGCCGAAGCTCATCTCATCCAACCCCCTTCAATGCAGGAATCTCAGCTAAAGCATCCATGATAGATGGCCACCCAACCTCTGCTTAAAAGCCCTCAAGGAAGGCGAGTGCACCACCTCTTGTGGGCGTCTGTTCCACTGTCAAACAGCTCTTACTGTCAGAAAGTTCTTCCTGATATTTAATCAGAATCTCCTTTTTGTAACTTGAATCCATTGGTTCAAGTCCCATCCCTCCAGAGCAGGAGAAAAGGAGCTTGCTGTATTGAGCCTCAATCTTCCTTAACCGGGCTCATAAATTGGGGTGTGCAGGTGCCCAATCTTTTATAAGTACGTACAAGCAACCTGCAGGATCAGGCCAATGATCCAGCATCCTGTTCCCACAGTGGCCAATTGGATACTTGTAGGAAACCCGCAAGCAGAATTCAAGCACAAAAACACTCTCCCCTCCTGTTAGTGATGTGTTGCTACGTTTGATTTAATGCATTCTCTCCATGAAAGTAGGAGTGGAGCCAATGAGAGTAGCAAGAGAGTAAGTTAGCATGCCACTGCTTCCCTCCACAGCAAAGAATTTTCCACAAGATCAGTCTGTAGATGAATGGTGACCATGCAAAGGGGGTGCATGAAGCTGTTGCCGCTTTTATGCTCTGCCTCCACGCATGCAAATTTATTTTTTAAAAAATATTTTACCACGTGTGCTCATGATATGAGCAACACTAAATCACGTGGATCTAATACTGATCCCCTCACATGGGTTTTAACACGCATCTCTAATAAGCAACCCTGAGTAAAAAGTATGGCAGAAGAGTTCTGGGCAGACAGGGTTACCAGTGCAGATGTGATCTGCACCCTCCTACAGAACCAATAAGTGCTACCTACCATAGAAAAAATAAGAATGCAAAGTGGTTGCGTTCTTATTCCCCATCTCGGTGAATCCGTAGAACTCGTTAATAGAGGCCAATTCAATAACCACATTGAAAGGAAGACAATTTCAGATGGTAAGCCCGTCAGCTGCTTTTAACCAGGATGATCAGCAATGAACATAAACACATGGGCAGCAGTGAAATTTAAATGATAGAAGAGATCGCATTGCCCCGCAGCTGTTTCCAAAGTATCACAGTCCAGTTATTACTCAGAGGTGGTTTCACTTAAAATATTTACCTACCCTCGTGTAGGACATGAAGGACTGGCTGTTACCCTGCTTCAAAAAACTGCTAAAAATCACCTCCTTATTCCTTTCCAACATTTGAAAACTTTGTCCTTAAATGGAGAACGATCAAATCCGTACCAAAAAGTTGTTTGCACTTTTGAAAACAAGAAGGCCACAGCAGAATGTTGAGATAAACCCAGTTTCTAAGCCAAAATTGGAAGTCTTTGCTAGGCGACTGAAACTTTCAGGTTCAACACCAATGTGAAATGAAAGGCCACCGGATGCAGGCTCCAGGGTGCTGTGGCTTGCTGAGTTAAAGATCAGGGACCAAGAAGGAAAGGGGATTAGGATTTGCCAACGAAACAGGAGATAGTAAACCAAAAAAGGAAAGTGGAGAGTACTACACCTTCAGGTTAATTCCAAGTCTTGATTTGATTGTTGGAGGAGGGGGGAGATATTAACCTTCATTTGTAGGACCTTGAGAGAGGAGGCTGATTAACGAAGATGAGGTCCTCCTTTCAGCTTCATTGATTAGCAAGCAATTATTTCCCCAGCTACTCCCTGGTCTTGGAAGTCAAAATTCTGATGGGTAAAGCCTTGTCCATTCCCACACACCAAGTATCAAGCACTAGATTGGTAGCCAAGCAGCACAACAGGTGACGACAACACATTCCTTCCAAACACACCCACCCGAGGAAGGAGGGATCATCCCAAGAACTTGTACTTTGGCAGGTTCCCTCTTTGGTCTAGGTGCTCCTGAGAGCAACAGTTCACCTCCTCTTTCGAGAAAGAAGACAGGAAACACACCATTCCCTAGGAAGGGCTGTCTCCAACTGCACCATTTTCTTCCTGGCAGGCCTTGAGTTTGGACAATACAGCATGTATCCGGAAGAGAGTGCGGGACTCCATTGAATAATTCTTGTAGTTGTTCCTGTAGGGAGAGGAAATCAGCAGGTGTTATATCCTGGAATGTGTCTATTCTACTCATTGTATTTAACAGCATCCTAAGGTATCCTGCCAACCTAGCAATTCGAAAGCACGTCAAAGTGCAAGTAGATAAATAGGTACCGCTCCAGCGGGAAGGTAAACAGTGTTTCCGTGCACTGCTCTGGTTCGCCAGAAGTGGCTTAGTCATGCTGGCCACATGACCCGGAAGCTGTACGCCGGCTCCCTCTGCCAATAAAGTGAGATGAGTGCCGCAACCCCAGAGTCGGTCACGAGTGGACCTAATGGTCAGGGGTCCCTTTACCTTTTTAAGGTATGTGCATCTCAGTAGCCAACCAATGAAATGACGGTAATTTGGATTAGGGATCATATGGGATCAAAGATCTGGCTCAGTACAAAGCAACTTCATCTTTTGCCTTACTGGTTCTAAGATCTTATTACCCAGAATGCAGTTTCAATGGTTGGATTGGGGGAAAGGATGAGTTGTTGAACTGGCAATCTTTATTCCTTAACCTCCATGGGGTTAATACATCTTACGGGATTCCATATACATTACAGGGTAGCAAGAGCTTCTGAGGAAGCTTTTGCTCTCTTCCTCAAAGCCAAGCATTGTGAAATAAACCAGGGGCTCACTTACTTCGCCCGACGAAGCAGCTGTACAGCCTCTTCATTACGACCTTGTGCCACATAGAGTAGACTCAACTCCAGCAGTGCATTGGGTACCAAGTAGTGATCGTACCGGATCCTCTTCTCACTGCAGACAGGGAGGCAAACATGTGCATGAAAAGCGGCTGGGTTTAGGGCGAAGGTCTACTTGGCCTTGATTTATTTTATTTATTGAATTTATATACTGCCCTATACCCGGAGGTCTCAGGGCGGTTCACAGAATAAAATTAAGATATAAAACCACAAAATACATAATAAAAATAAAAACAATAGCCCCCCCAAGACAATTTTAAAAGGACATGGGATGTCAATCAGATCAACCAAAGGCCTGGTTAAAAAGGAACATTTTTGCCTGGCGCCTAAAGGTGTATAATGAAGGCGCCAGGTGACTTCCCTGGGGAGAGCATTCCACAGATGGGGAGCCACTGCAGAGAAGGCCCCGTTCTCGTGTTGCCACGCTCTGGACCTCTCGAGGAGGAGGCACATGAAGAAAGGCCTCAAAAGATTATCTCAGGGTCTGGGTAGGTTGATATGGAAAGAGGTATTGGAATGGAATGAACATATATGAACTAATAAGAGGTGGAACACAAATGGGAACCAGATTGTTGTGTTTGCAGAGGATTGTAGGTAGAATGGGAAGCAACTTACTCCTTGAGGAGCATCTAATTACTTTCAGCCATCTAAAGGGTGGTGAGGCCTGAGGAGAGGATGCATGAAGCCCTCTTTCTGTGCCAGGCAGAATGATCCTTACCTTGGGGGAAGCCCAGCTCATTCAAAAAACAAACAAACCCATTTTCTCCTCCAAATAGACTGGAAACTCTTGGGAATCTCACCTGCCATGGACAGCACTGAAGCAAGCCTCTGCTTCAGCAGAACTGTGCAAGTGCTTCAGGACCAGGCCTTTGAGAAGTAGCACAAGACACCGGTCGTCCACCTGGTACTCACTGGCTGAAGGTAATGGGGAAGAATAGGAAGAAAAACGGCAAAAAGAGAGGTGAACCAGTTGCTGCCTGCAACTCCACACTTGAGGAGCAGTTGGCAGTTCATATGCATTCAGATTATTGGTTAGCAAATACTTCCTTTGTTCTCAACCCTACAACTAGGAAGGAAAACTCAGTGTTTCCCCGCTTACATGAAATTCCCTGCCCAGTTTACTTGTGAGCCGGAACAGACACTTTGTAAAAAAACAGGCCAAAAAAGGAAGGCTCCAAATATTATTTCCCAGGATCAAGGAATTATAACTTTGAAGTCCAGTACAAAATATTGTGACCTTGCCTTCTCATGGTTTCAGAGAAATTCTGCCAAGTTTCTGACAAGGATTTGAAAACGAAAAGAGGTTATCAATATTTCCCAAACTTTTAGCATGTCATTTCGTCCCTGCAATCAGCTGGACTGGTACAGTAAAGAAAAAGCGATTTACTGTATATATGTTGTATATATAACATTCTGCCACCAGAGAGCAATATGGAGTCCTGTTTTTCTCTGCCTCTTTTCCCTGTTTTAAATTTAGTGAAGGTAAAGGGACTCCTGACCGTTAAGTCCAGTCGCAGACGACTGTGGAACTGAAATGCTTCTTTGATCCAGTCCCTGTCTACCTTGCCCCAAAATCCTATTACTGTACTACTTTTATTATTTACTCCTCGATATTAGGATATGCAACTTCTATTTTTTGCATGTATTGTGCCTCGATATTAGGGTATGCAACTTCTATTTTTTGCATGTATTCCAGAATATAATTTGCTATTCTAGCAGCTCTGCATGCCCACCCACCCTTTGCCACTTTCGTGAAACCAGTGTGTTACCTGGTGCTTTCTGTAGCAGCTTCTCAGCCTGTGTCAGAGTCTCTAGAGTCCCCTTGAGCAGTTCCTGGCGCTTGCCCAGGACGGTGAATCCATTCCACATATACATCATCTCCTGGGAGGGAAAAGCACAGGGAGGGCATGGTGATGATAGCAGGAATTTGGGATGGAGGTGGGGAGAGGGGAGAGACAGAGGCCGCAGCACCTCCTTTCTCATCAAACTATTCTTGCCAGCCCAGGAGAAGCAGACAGAAGCTTCCTGCCTCTTGAGACTCGTACATGCATCTCTTGTGTGGAACTAGATGCACACAAATGGACGGGTGTGGGAGGACACAATGTTCCTCGGATGTGAGAGCGTAGCAAATATGTTTTCTGCATCAGAATTTATGAGAGGAAAATGCACACCTCTTTCTTTTCATTTCTACGTGCGGCCCCTGGACCAATTTAAAACTAGCAATGAGATGCACAGCTTGCAGATTTAACATATAGAATAAGAAGAATGCACGTTTAAAGAAGACTGGAAAATGTTTACTGAGTATATTGGTGGAAATTGTGTTCATTTAAAATGCTGGTAGCATTCAGATAAATTCAACAGTGTAAATAAGATTTGATGGATTACTGAATGGTTTAGTTCATGTAAAATATGCAGGGATGTATGGTATGCAAATTGAACAATGGAAAGAGAAGAAAGGAAGTCATTGATTTAAGGTTGTTTAAATGAATATTTTGAAATGTAATTTAGAAAATTTAATAAAAAATAAAACTGGCAATGAGAGCATGGTCATGAAAAGGTTTTCCATTCGCTTGAAACCATGACATCTCTGCCACCCATGCCCACAAGCGTAGAGAGGTCATGTATCTCCACCCTTACCAGGGCTGGCACAGGCAGAGGAACATGTTCGCTCGCTTTGTAGCGCCTCGCTTTGCGGATGGCGAACTTCTCTGTGGGTGGAGACTTCCCTGCGATCTTCTGCTTGAAGGAGGAAACTTGCCTGCAAGGGAAAGACAGGTGGAGAGCCTCACTGCAGCTTCGTTCCAACAGGGAATCTAAAGAGAGAGAGACTGTGCTCCCAGAAGTGCTTCATCCAACTTTCAGGGACTCTGGCTACACTCGCTCAAGGAGCCTGCCTGCTGGCAGGCAGCAAACCTTGTCCACAGCTTGCAGCCATTCAGATAGGCACCAATCACACAACAGTCCTCCAGTAACATTGCTGTTATTTCTGCACAGCAAATATTCTGGCAAAACACTTGCAGAACTGGGGCTCCTAGACCAGGGGTACTCTAGTTGCTAACACCTTACAGTTGCAACAAGAGAACAGAACTCAGCCCGCATTGTCCCTCCCTCAATAAGTGCTAGTGTGTGACACAAAGGGGGGCTTTTACCTGAAGAGCTCAACCTCATCCTCACCAAAAGGCCGCGGTTCCTCTGGAGGCAGCATGCTAAGGAAGGCAGCTTTCATGTACACATACATTGCCTGTAGGGAGACAAGGAGGGTATAAAGAAGGGAAGAAGTCCAACCAGAGCAAGGTGGTGAGAGGGAGGGAGGACAGCAGCAGCAGGTTTGCTTTGGGGAGTTTAACAGCTTGGGAATCATAGTGAGCGAGACTCTTCTGATTGAGCTGGAAAAGGGAAAGGAAAGCACAAAAGGGAAGTCCCTTCAGCTGCAGACATAACCCAGCACTGGCCACTCACAAACTAGTCTTTTGGGAAGTTTCAAGAGCTTGGGGGGACATGTTGCAAGAGCAACACAAAATAGATTCCATGGTTCAAGAGTGCCTGGAAAACACCTAACCCCAGATGCATGTCATCTGGCCATAGTGACTAATGATGATGGATTCTGACCTCATTCAGAAAGTAAGGGGTAGGATAGAGAGCCTGGCAGGCAGAATATCGGCTTTAGTCATCAGAGGCTGAATCTGAGTGGGCCTTGCAATGCAAGCCTTGAGGGAAGAGAGGGAGAAAAGCTGTGAAGCAGAACACACACTCAGAGCTTGATACAAAGGGCAAAGCCAGCCTGGCTGCATAAGGTCTCCTAGCAGCCATTCATGCTAGTGATAGTTCTAACAAAGTGAGGCCTACAGGGTCCCTTGCCGCATTGAACAGGGTGCAACTCCAGTCCCATAGCACAGCTGCAAAATATTCTGAGCTGGGTTAATTGTATACTAAAAGGGAAAGAAGTACTCCCAGGCAACACATCACACAGCCATTGCAGTTCCAGGGTCTGTCTCCTGAAGTTACTGGAGGTTCTGCTATTTTGGCTGAAAAGGTGCCCAGAGCCCTGCGGATCAGCTAGTAACAGAAGAAGGCACCTAGCCTCAATGCTCTCTTCTTATTTGAAGCAGGGAAAAGTCTCCCACTTTCCAGAACTGAGGTCTATCTCAAAGGAAACCCTGCAGGGAACAATAACTCCTCTGTCCCGCTGCTCATTAACCTCCTGTCGCATTTCGCACCTTGGACCAGCGATTCTCCTTGCTCAGCAGGTCCGCATAGAAGTAGGCCATCTTCCACATTCCTTTGTAGGCAAAGCACCACATCAGCTCCCAGTAGCACATATGGTGAAACTGCTTCCAGGCCTGCTGGGCTGAGCAGCCTTCTTCAAACTTCTTGATGGCCTGGGCAGAGATAGAGAGGCCAAGCCCAGGTTAGTCCAGAAAGGAGGTGAAGGGTAGCAGCAGCAGCAGCTCAGTACTTTTCACCAGCAAGCACAGTGGGAAGGGCTTTATACTGGAAGCAAAACTCCCAGCCTTTCGCCATGGGGGAGCTGTGATGTGGTGGTGTAAGAATGTGTGTGGCCGCCGCTCACCTCATTGATGTTCCCTTTGATCTCCTCTATCCTCCCGGCGAAGAATAAGAAAATGGCACTCTGAAAGGCGAGAGAAAGAGGACTCAGACATGAAAGATAGGGAGCCACAAGGCATGTGAAACTCAGACTCCTCAATTAATTCATACACACACACACACACACACACACAAATATGTGATGGCCTGGGATTTGGACTCGGATGCTGAACCTGAGGGATTCCAGCCTGCACAGGATTCCCTGCCTCCAGAATCAGCTGAGCCGGGGCTGGGGCATGAGCCTGAAAGGTCCTCACCTCTGCTGGATCCTCAGGTGCAGGCATCACCTGAGTCTGCTCTGGCTCCTGAGGTGATGGAGGACCCATTGCCGGCAGGTGCTCCACTCTCAGCCCCGTCCGAGGAAGCTGAGGTTGCCTCTGGGTCTGGTAACCCTACAGCCTCTCCTGAGCTGCAGAGGCTAAGGGCAGATAGGCGGAGGGAACTAGGTTCCCACAGAAGGAGTGCTTGCCTCCAGGCCAGGAGAGGCGAGTCACCAGAGGATCGGGGCTGCCCTATGCCTCGGGGCAGATAAAAGCTGGCCAGCCCCAGTCCCAAGTTGTGGGAGCAACATTGTTGGTTCCTAGTTCCTGCCTGAACCCTGTCCTGCTTTCCTGCCTGAGCTCCTGACCCGCCCTGGCTCCCTGCTTGAAAGCCTGATCCTGTCTTCACCTGACTCCCTGCCCTGCACCCAGCTTCAGCTACTACGGACTGCCTCCATGTTGCACCTTTGATCATGAACCGGACTTGGACCTCGCCTCTCAGGTAACCCCCGGGACCAGCACACGATATCTGAAGACGCATGAAAAGCATGGACCCAGCCTCTGAGGGCACCTGCAACCTGTTCAGAGGTGGTGGCAGCAGGAGAACGTGGCCTAAGACTCCAGAGCCCCCATTGGTCGACCCACTTATAAGGGCAGAGAAGAACCCGCCAGGTGTTTCCTACAGCATCTCTGAGGGCCTAGGACCATGTTCTTAAGACCCTGAGGCCTTCTGAGGCTGAGAAGATTAGGTTTCTCCCTCAATGCAGCAGTCAAAAGGCGGGAGAGTTGTGAGAGACCGCTACCCAACTCTAAGCACACCATGCCTGGCGCTTTGGATCTGCCTTGCGCAACACCAGAGTAGGGCACAAATGCTGCCCCAGGCACAGGGTCTCCTGCAAAGCCTAGTAGCAGAAATCCAAGAGATTGAAACCCCCACCCCCACCCCAGTCACAACAGAGGGTGCCGGCCTGGTCTGCACATGCAGCAGAATGATGTGGTAGAGTCTCAAAGATGGGAAGCAGCCACTTTAGACTGCAGGGGCCATTTTAGAATGCATCCCATTTATCTGAATGCATTTCAAGAAGAAAGCCAGCCCATTGCGGGCAAATGTTCTAATCCCATTTCCCTCCCTGGTGTGCTAGGTTGCTGCCTACAAGGAGACGTATATCCAAGGGAGAATTTAGGGGAGGGAAACAAAAAACAAAAAAGATCCCCCACCTGCGGTCCGAAATGGCACAGTCCATTCTACCAATCCATTCCGCTGCTTATGCAGAGTCAGCCTGAGTCTTGAAAAAGACACGGGGCACACAGACAGGGATGGGAAGAGAGAAAAAGAGCGCAATCTTAATATGGCAAAAACCCTGAACCAGAAGGCATGCTGTCTGCTGCGGAAGTGCTCCAATTTGGGGGGTGGGGGCGGGAAGAAGGAGGGGAGTCCTTAATAAAAGCCACCAGCTCCACCACCGCACTCAACTTTAGCCAATCCACAGGTCGCCTTCTAGCCTTCTGGAAATAGTAGCTAAGGGGGCTGACGCAAAAGGGAACTGTGCCCCAGCCCCACTGTAATTTGAGCACCACACCACTGCCTCAAAGTGGGGCAGGTAAAGCCTAACTGGTCCCTCTTAGGAACATTAGGCAAGGGGTGCTTCTTTATAGATCTCCAGTGAGGAGCACAGGTGACTGCACAGGTATCAGGTGAGTGCCTGTAAAGCCTGCAGCACTTTGCAAATCATCCACACAGTGCCTTACCTTAGGGTAGCGGGCGAGATATGGACTCAGGAGCGCCTCAGCCTCTGTAAAATTGTCTTCACCAATCCCTGGTGGGAGCACAGAAAGGGGGGTTGTTAAGTTGTGGGTGAACATATCAGACGACACAGCAATTCTTCAAACAGCTCTTGTTTATTCACAGGCCAGAACAGAACTGAGCTGAAGGGTTCAACCAGCCTGCTTATATAGAGCTCCACTAGAACGCAACAGTAACCACTTTCTGTAACTATCCAATCACTGAACGTCACTTTTGATCCCTTATTTGCATATGTGGACCTGAACTATCTACAGTATCCCCCTGCTGGCCCAGGGTGAGAACTTCAGGACATAACGGGGGGGGGGGGTAAGCATCTTCCCAAAGGGCAGCCTCTCCCCTGATGTCCCTAAGCAGAGCAAGGTCACAATATTTTGCACCACCACAATATTTGCTCCAGCTTCTCTTGCAGTGTCCCAGGGGAGACACCTCTCTCCCATTTGGTAATTTCAAGCTGTTAGGCCAACTCTAGCAAGCTCATGGCTGAAAGGAAACTTGAGCGGAGGACCTCGCAGCTCATACTTAACCACAACACATCTCCAGCCCAGTTCAGTCAATATCAGAAGGATTTGAATTCTGCACCCTCCCTCCTCTAACCTGCCTCAGGGCCCTCCTTCAGTTCCCCCCACAAACCAAGTTCTGTAATCAGAAGAATTCACATAGACCCCAATGAAGTGGCATAAGCTAGTCGTGGCAAGAGACGTTACATCTGAGCAGATACTGAGCCGCAGGACTGACCCTAAGCAGGTCATGGAATAAAAGCCCCCAAGTGGAGAAAAGGGGCCCCAGCCCCCCCACACTTCCTGTGGCCAACCCAATTATAGGCCACCATTTTCTATTCTGCTTCCCAAAGGTGGAGAGAAGACTTTACCTAAGACGAAGGTAAGGAAGGTGTAGTAGCAGAGGAGCAACATTGTACAAAGCAAAGCCCGCAGGTTGGCTGTGGTGGCCCCTTGATGCAGCTGCTGCAGGCCGTAATCCTGGTGGGGAAGAAGAAATAAAAATAAGGTGGGTGTTGAGAGAGAGAGTCGGAGGGAACAGCTCTTTGTAGGTAAACGCAACAAAGATCAGCCATGTGAGATTTCCATTCAGCACAGGTCTCTGGATGAGCAGACCAGAATAATTCCCCAGGAAATACTCAGCTAATCAAAGAAAAAGCTGGTGCAGAGGCCTACTACAAACACATCAACACCCATCCCAGCATGAGGGACGAAACAGCACACAATAGATAGCCTTAAAGACCATCGGGGCATTGTCCGTGTCTCTGAACTGGAAGTAATGGCTTGAGGCGGCAAGTAATATCAGCTACATAGCCTCCAACATTTCTCCGATGAAAATAGGGATGTCCTATTCAATGATGATAACAATAATAGGTAGCTCTGGGTACCTAAAATATATAGGAACTTATTCATGTATGCGACTACAGTGGCAAGAATGTTACTCGCCCCCAAATGGAAAAAAGCAAAAGTCCCAGCAAAGGAAGAATGGATACAAAAACTTATGGAATACACAGAAACTGCAAAATTTACCAGAATAATATTAAATCAAGATAACATTTTTTTATTATAAAAGAATGGAAATGGTCTATTGAATATTTACAGATAAATTGTAAACAGATAAAAACATTGGCAGGATTATTCTAATAACCTGCAGTTTTATAAGAGTATATATTTAAAGTATATATTTAAGAAATGAGCAAATTAAGTTAATTTGGATATGCAGAAGATATAAAAAGTAAATTTAAGGAACCGCAGAAAGAGGGGGAAGGAAGTCGAGTTTTGAAATGTCAATATGATTGTAAAATTAGTGAAATGTATAAAATTAGTGAAATGTATAAACTTGAAAAGTATAAATAAATAAACTTTTAAAAATGATTATGATGATAATGATAATTATTATAATAATAATTGTTGTTGTTGTTGTGTTGTTGTTGTTTTACTATTTATACCCCACCCATCTTACTGGGTTGCCCCAGCCACTCTGAGCAGCTTCCAACATAATATAAAAACATAATAAAACATTAAACATTTTTAAAAATCCCTATACAGGGCTGCCTTCAGATGGCTCAGGGGTCAGATAACTCTATATTTCCCAACATTTCTCTGATTAAAATAGGAAGATCAGAAACTGGGACGGCTTCTGTAAATCTGGAACTGTCCCTGGAAAACAGGGACACTTGGGAGGGTCTGCAGCTGCAGGATTTGGGTGTTATTTGCCAGTCCACCTGATCCAGGTCTTCCAAGTCTTGAATGTGTACAAGAACTATGAATAGAAAGCATTCTAGATCCAAGTCCTTAGATGCGCCTGTCAGACCACACACGGCTTCAGTGGCACCTCTAAAAACATGGAAAGGTTCAGGTCAGGCCCACCCACTTTGTAGGCTTGGATTAGGCAAGTGAGGTGGCCTCCAGATGTCAGACACCAGCTCCCGTCAATCCCAGCCAGCTAATGGCCAGGGATGGTGGGACTTTTAGTCCAACAATATCTGGATGGTATTGTCTACACCAGGGGTGGCCAGCTCCCAATAGGCTGCGATCTACTCACAGAGTTAAAAACAGGCAGTGATCTACCCCCTTTTTTGGGTTCAGGTCAAAGTTGTTGAGCATTTTTAGGAAGGAAAGTCCTGTTTTTTAGGGGTTCAGGTCAAATTTGTTGTGGAGCTTCTTTTTATGGGCTGCAGGGCTAAAATGTCTAGGGGAGCCAAATTCCTTGGGCTTCTTTGGGGGGAGCCAGTGATCTACCACAGACGTCCAGTGATCTACCAGTAGATCACAATCTACCTGTTGGATGTGCCTGGTCTACACCATGGGTAGGCAAACTAAGGCCCGGGGGCCGGATCCGGCCCAATCGCCTTCTAAATCCGGCCCACGGACAGTCCGGGAATCAGTGTGTTTTTAAATAAGTAGAATGTGTCCTTTATTTAAAATGCATCTCTGGGTTATTTGTGGGGCATAGGAATTCATTCGTTATTATTTTTTCAAAATATAGTCCGGCCCCCACAAGGTCTGAGGGACAGTGGACTGGCCCCCTGCTGAAAAAGTTTGCTGACCCCTGGTCTACACTTACATTAGAGGAAGGAAGAAATAATTGCCTTGATCCCTAGAAAAGCCTCTGCACATCTTAAGTGCATTAAATATATATATATTCCTGGTTGGAGGGAACTGCCAGATGGGTGCTAGAGCATGCAGAAGGTCCCGTCGACAGCATCTCCAGGCAAACAGAGATCAGAAAGCAGGGCTAGGAAAGAGCTTTCTCTGCCCCAGGTTGCAGACAGATGCTACCCATCAAAGTAGATATACAGAGATAGATAGGTAAATGACAGCATTTATATCTAGAAATAACTGTGTCCATTGGCAGACCACATTCTGCCTCTTCAAACACACACACGGGCAGGCAGTCGTACCTTGTCCCCTGAAAACCCTGCAAATTCCAGAAGTCTCAGGATCCGGGGTGGGAAAAGGGAAAGCGTCTGTGGAAGGAAGACATCAACATGAATGGCAATGGACGCACTTGTGGGGAGAAATCCTCCTCTTAGACTTTGCACTTCCTTCAGCAGTGGAAAGCTCCACTTTTTGAGTGTGATCCATTTGCAAATGGACAGATCAGAAGCAGACAGCGTGGTCCCTTCCTGATGTTGTTAGGACTCCAACTTCCACCGGCCCCTGCCAGCTTGGCCAGGAATGTTGGGAGCTGCAGCCCAGCAACAACTACAGAGAAGCTACTCCCTTCAGAGGGAAGGAGAAGAGAGACAAAATTGACTAACTCCAACGGGCTGCTGCTTGTAACTCAGTTTCTGTCCTTATTGTGGGATGTAAAACACAAGAGCAGTCAATTACAACATTCCTAGAGCGTACATGTTTAGACATGGGGAGGGATGTTTGTCCAGCCAGCAGGTAAACTTCCTGTTTCCCTCTGGGCTGGGACAGGCTTCCTCCGCATGTGACTAGAGGTGGGTGTGGCCTCACCTGTGCAGGTAATGATAAAAGCACAGGGCAGGGGCAGCCATCTCTCTCTTTCTTCTCTTCCTTCGAAGAAGCAACATCTACTAAGTGAAAGATGCCCTCTTGGCTCCCAGCCAAGAGAGGAGAAAGGGAGTATCTTCCTATAAGATAGATTCCAAATGTATATTACTTCACTAGGCTTAAGTCTGCCTTCTGGGATCTGATTGTGAACAGAATGTGAGTAAACTCTTTTTATACTTTTGTAAAGGACTGTGTCATGTCTTCTATTTTAAGAGGGAATAAGGGGAAATTACCAGAGTGATTATTATAGAGGCTTAAGCGAGCCTGAGCAAACGCTGCCGTTGCAAACTTAAGATAAAGGGGAATGTATTACTCTGCTGATATTTTGGGAACTTGTTAACACAAGTTGGATAAGGATATAATCACACAATATATCCTTTCCTGCATCCCTGAACATTCCCACACTTATAACCGCTGGTGAAGCGCATGTAGACTCACCAAGTTGAAGGCACCAATGCCCAGCGCAACTCCTCCCTCCAGATGGGCGCGAGAAGGAGAACTCGATGGCAACTGATTGGGCTGGATGAAGCTGTTGAGCTCCCTGCAAATGTAAGAAGGTTTAGAAAACCCCATTGCACCTTCACCTACCAGGAGTGAAGCATGGAACCCAGGCATCCGAGCTCACAGTTTTTCTAACCGCTAGACCACTCCCACACTGACCTTGAGCCGCAGAGTTTGAAGATACTTCATTATTGTGACAGGGGATACGACTGAATAGGAAATGCAATTCCTTCCCGCCCGCCCCCCTTCCCCACACTATTGCTTTAAGGCAAAGAAGGACTATGTTCCCGATTCAAACATCCAACACACATTTCAGGAACGGTCAGTCTAGAAAATGCTTGTCGAGCGAGGCAGTCATGTCCTGGATGGCCACCGATATTGCTGTCCCAGTTTTCCAGAGATGTCCATGACACTTGTGGCCATTTCTGTGCATTGCTAATCTGGCAGGTAAGTGGGCAAGTGAACATTTCTTTCCTCTCCTCTCAGGTACAGACAGTTTCTCATGTGTAAGCATCCCAAAACTGGGAGTGGTTTCCTGACACTATGTGGGATGGCATGCTGGAGCAGTAGCTACATCTCAGACTTTTCTCACACACGTTCCTCTGCTGATGTACAACACAAAGATAAATCACATGTTCTTGGGACTGTACCATTCCAGGCTCAAATGGAGGGGGAAGAGAGGGGGAGTGAATATTTCTTACACTACACACACACCCCTAGCAAACCAGCAGAAAGATTATGGTGCAGGGATTCTGTATCTGCTGAGTTTCTCTGCATGCACAGATTGTCCCAGAAACTTCTCCCTTCCTGAACCTGGCATGGAATCCAATTGTCCTGCCCCCTCTTCTTCATCTCAAACCTTTCACTGGTGCTGCTTCTCATTCCCAACTTTGTGCTACCTGCGATTCAGTACTGCTCTGCTGTTCCAACCCTGCCAGCTGTCACCACAACTCACCTGTAGATGAGGTAGCTGCTGCGCACCTTGATTCCTCCTTTTATGAAATTCACCATATTTTCATCCTGAAAGAAGAGAAGGAATTTTGAAAAGTCCTCAGCTTAAGGAAGATAACTCAGCTCCTTAAGTCTGATGTGTCTGTGTGATGCCACTGGGACAGTTGAATGCAAGCATCCATTGCAGGTCGCCACTGTAAAGGGAAGGCACAATCAGTGGGTACCTGGGTACATTGGTCCCAAGCTTGGCACAGATTGGGAATGGAGAACCTGTGGTCCTCTGGATGTTGTTGGAAGACCGCTCTGATCATCCCTGACCATTGGGCCAGGAATAATGACTGGGGCTGCTGGGAGTCCAACAGAATCAGGAAGGCTGCAGGGTCCCCATCCCAGGCATGGATAGTGGAAGCTGATCGGAGAACAGGAAGGGAAATTGCTTTATGTTGGCCGGCTCTTGCCTGGCTTCCCCATAAGGCAGCGTATAGAATCCTTGCATGCAGTCTGTGGCTTGTGAATGAATCTGTGGATTGTGGCACTAATTATATATTGTCATTACAAGAGGACTAGAAGGTGGACCAGAGACATTTGCCTCCTGAAATCCAACCCATCAGAGAAAGGAGGAAGAGAAGTGGCTGTTTACCTGCACAACAAAGTTAACATAGAAGTGTGAGTGGCTGCAATGCTAAATCTCTGCTGCAGGAAGGAAAATGTCTTTGACTCCTCCTGCTGCAAGAGCTCTCTCACTGGGACACCTCCTGCCAAGGGGTCCTGCCCCACTACTTGAAAATTGCTGCCCCGATGGCCTGTGCCCTGCAGTGGAGAGAAGCTCCCCTTACCTGCAGGAAGGTGAGGGCAGCCCGGTGCAGCAAGCATTCTGCGTAGCACACTTCTGCATGCAGCTCCTCTGCAATGGGGAAAGGAACAGGTTCAGGGAAGACATGTGTCATTCCTTCCTAACCAGGCTTACCATGTCCTCCTCTGTTCAACACTTAAACATTCACATCCACCCACTGGAAACAGCAACAGCAGCACCAAAGAAAAAATACCCTTGGATCTCTGTCTTGCGCACGTCTGGAAGCTGGACTGTTTACTTATTTGCAACACATCAGCCAATAATGAAGATTCCCTGCCCCAAAAGTAAGGGGGAACTTCAAGACATTGCACACCTTATATTTATTCCTTTTCCACAAGCTACCCTGTGCCTACATCAAGACGAGCCAGAGAAGGTAATGTAAGGGTTTCTGTACTGGGTCCAAGATCCATATACAGTGGTACCTCTGGTTGCAAACAGGATCTGTTCCAGAGGCCCGTTCGCAACATGAAAAGAATGCAACCCACAGTGGCGCGTCTGCGCACACGCGGGTTGCGATTCGCCGCTTCTGCACATGCACATGACGTCATTTTGCGCTTCTGCGCATGCGCAAGTGGCGAAACCTGGAAGTAACACTTTCCGGTACTTCCGGGTCATCGCGGGACGTAACCTGAAAGAACGTAACATGAAGCGGACATAACATGAGGTATGACTGTAGTCCGACCTGCCTCCAGATGTCTCTGGCTAGTGCACAAACATTGGCTTTCCCCACCCCTCATAGACCGAAGAAAAAATGCAGTGGTCTTGACCCCCCACAACCGGGCCACTAACTCTTCTCACCTTCAGTACAGGAATCTCCGCCTAGCCGACTGGAGAAGGATCCGGTCACCGTGCTTTTCCTCCGAAACCTGCCAGAGGGACCCCAAAAGGGATGCATAGTTAGGTTCCACTTCCTCCATCCCAACCCCCAGAGAATGGGCATCCTCTTTGGGCTGTCACCACCAACACCTCTCCCCTCCCCAGAGCCTAGGCCCACCCAACGACTCCCACCTACCCCTTAAGGCCCATTTTCAAATTGAGGAAGAGAATGTTGCTTAAAGAAACAACTCAGAAGGGTACGAGACTTCCTTCTCCCCTGTGAGCAGCTGAATCCTGACTTGGGTCAGGAGGAGAAAACGAAATACAGTGGTACCTTGGGTTCCTGAACGGCTTAGTTGTCAAACAAATCGGTTCCCGAACGCCGCAAACCCAGAAGTAAGTGCTCCGGTTTGTGGCGTTCTTTGGAAGCCGAATGTCCGACGAAGCTTCTGCTTGAGTGCAGGCAGGGCTGTAGCTAGAGGGTGGTGAGGTGGGCCCCCGCCAGGGGCACAGGCAATGTGGGGGCGCAAAACTGGCTAAAAAATATGTCCATAAATATAGGTAAAGATAAAGGGACCCCTGACCATTAGGTCCAGTCGTGACCGACTCTGGGGTTACTGCGTTCATCTCGCTTTACTGGCCTAGGGAGCCGGCGTACAGCTTCCGGGTCATGTGGCCAGCATGACTAAGCTGCTTCTGGCAAACCAGAGCAGCACACGGAAACGCCATTTACCTTCCCACTGGAGTGGTACCTATTTATCTACTTGCACTTTGACGTGCTTTCGAAATTTTAGGTTGGCAGGAGCAGGTGCCGAGCAATGGGAGCTCACCCCGTCGCGGGGATTCGAACCGCCGACCTTCTGATCGGCAAGTCCTAGGCTCTGTGGTTTAACCCACAGAGCCACCCGCGTCCAGTCCATAAATATAAATATTGATTATTGCCTCATAAGAAATGGTTTTAAATAGAGGGTGAACTGAATGGGTGGGGGAGGGGTTAGAAGAGAGGCGGAAAGAAGAGCTGATTTGTCCATGGCTAGGGGGCAGAATCTGGACGGTTCTGCCAGGGGCACAGGATCACCTAGCTACAGCTCTGAGTGCAGGAAACTCCTGCAGCCAATCAGAAGCCACGCCTTGGTTTTAGAATGGTTTCTGGAGTCAAACGGACTCCCAGAATGGATTAAGTTCGAGAACCAAGGCACCACTGTACCCACTCACAAGTGATGCAGGCAGGTGAGGTTTCAGGCGAGAGCACCCCCCATTTAGAAGCTACTTCCATTGCCCTAACATGACCAGACACCCCTTCAGAGGGGGCCCATGTGAAATCTACAGAAACAGGCCTTATTCCCCACCCCAAAAGCCCTCCCCCAGGCTGTCCCCACCTCTGGCAGATTTCCTGTGCCTCTTTCATTGTGTGTCCAGCATGAACAATGTCGTCGTGCTCAAAGGTCATCATGGCTTGCATTTCCAGAATGGTGGCATAGATTAAGGCATGATACATGCTCTCTTTGGCCCTGTCGAAAGGGATTAAAAAAAGGAAGCAGGTGTAGTTGCAGGCAATATAGTTGTTTTTTTTTAAATTAGTGATGGCAACAGCTAGGGAGGGTTGTATTGTTTCCTCCATGTTTCTCATATTTGCCCACAAAAGGATGTGGGACGGGGGGGAGAGACGTTTGAATTTCCCCCTTATGCACCTGAAAATCAATGCCCAGCACTACAAGCAAAGAAAGAAAGAGATGGTCACATTCCTGATCACAATTCATTAAGTTATAAAAAGGAGAAGGGTCAACACTTTGAAGATTTTGGAATGTCCTCAGCCCAACTTAGACTCTGCTGGGGTTGAATCCACATAGCCCAGTTACCTGCTGAGTTGAACCCATGAACCAGGATTCGAACCAGTCTAATTTCCTTGAAGCCATTGCCAGAAATCCACATACTTAACGAAGTTACAAATCAAGCTTTGTGGGAATAATAGCAGGCACAGAGCAGGCAGGAGGCCTTTCTAAGACAGGGAGAGGCTTGAACAACAATATTCAATGGCATTCTTCTGCTTTTAGGAAAAGCAGAGCTCTCCTTTTCATCTATTTTTCTTCCTCTGCTTTTGCTGGCAAAGACAGGAGCAACCTCCCACACACACGGAGGGATTTGGGTTTTGTTCGCATTTCTTTTCCAGCGTGCACAAAAGGTGAAAACTCCATCTTCTAACTTGCACAGGGTGCTTACCATTAAAGGTATTTGCATACTGATTTCCTTAAACAAAAAGCAGATTGCGCACGCACACACAAAACATTTAAAGCACAGCAATGAACTTCACAGATTCAACAGACCTCATTAAATACATATTTCTGTAGCCAACCAATAAAAGTCACATGCCATGGCTGAGGCGTTTGTCTCAATTTCCAAACGTCATGTGAAATTAATATATGGGTTTTGCAACCCCTCCAGAACGCTAAATGGTGGACTGTGCTCTGGTACGCCAAGCACCACCACAAAAGTTGGAGTAAGCGGTTTCTCCCATTTGGGATTGTAATTTTTTGTTTCACATTGTCAGGTAATTTCCAGGTCACTCTCCTCTCCTATACCACATCACTAAAACTAGAACTAGGGCTGAGCGATATCTGGTTTTCAACATTGTGTGATATATCACCAGCTAAGCATCGCAATATACCAATATATCACAGTGTCTGAAATAACGATGGAGCTACAGTACATGGAGGCATTGGCTGGCTTCACAGTTTTTCCTGCATCGTGATTTTTGCTGACGCCTGCTCTTACGATTCGCTGCTCCCTGCATGAGGTAGTGCAGAGCTACTGCTGCTGCTGCTGTTGTTTATTAAATTTATATACCGCCCTATACCGGGGGAAGGGAGTCTCAGGGCAGCTTCTAGTCCCCCTCCCTCCAATAGTTGTTGTTCCACTGTGTGGGGTTTTTTTAAATACAGTGGTGCCCCGCAAGACGAATGCCTTGCAAGATGAAAAACTCACTAGACGAAAGGGTTTTCCGTTTTTTGAGTCATTCCGCAAGACGAATTTCCCTATGGGCTTGCTTTGCAAGACGAAACGTCTTGCAGCCGCTAAGCCGTTAATATCCACTAAGCCGTTAATAGCCGCTAAGCCGTTAAGCTGTTAATAGCTGCTAAGCCGCTAAGCCGTTAATAGCCGCTAAGCCGCTAATAGCCGTGCTTCGCAACGAAAAAACCGCAAGACGAAGAGACTCGCGGAACGGATTAATTTCGTCTTGCGAGGCACCACTGTATTGCTACTATCGCTACTATTATGGATTAGTTCACATCCTTCTTAGTGTAACTGCACACCCCGTTCCAGCCAGAAGTGACTACAAAGTTCGAAACAATGACAAAGTGCACAAATCAAATTCTCCTCCAAGGCCATTTGGTCTCACTACCCATAGACTCCCTTCCTTCCACCCTAACAATTTGTTTCGGTTGCACACCAAGGGCCAGTCAGGTCTCCAGGTAAGGAGTGCTGGAGGAAGGTTCATCTGTTTATTGGGGAAGAGAGGGAAACCCTGGGTCTGATGTGTTCCCCGTCCCCCCCACTCCACAAAGGTGACTGGATCAGGCCCTTTCCCCACTCACCTGGGTTGCAGCATCTCCAAGCTCTCACTGAACTGGTTTTTCAGGAAGCAGTTCAGCGCTTCTGTGCACTCGGCCAGGGCAGCCTCCAGGGAGCTGCTGCGGAGAAGGAAGGCGCAGAAAGAGAGAGCTCAGTTAGCCTCCCCCGAAATGGCTCATGAGACCTTTGGTAAGATAGTCACAATCCACACATTCAGAACACATTTGAATCACATGGCTTCCCCACCCCCACCCCTTGCCAGAAGCCTGGGAACTCTAGTTTGGAAAGCAGGCTAGGAATTGCAGTCCTGTGAAGGGTGAACTACAGTTCCTAGAATTCTTAGGGGGAAGCCGTGTGATTTAAGTGTTGGCATGACATACTACTACAGTGGTACCTCGGGTTAAGAACTTAATTCGTTCTGGAGGTCCGTTCTTAACCTGAAACTGTTCTTAACCTGAGGTACCACTTTAGCTAATGGGGCCTCCCGCTGCCGCCGCACAATTTCTGTTCTCATCCTGAAGCAAAGCTCTTAACCCGAGGCACTATTTCTGAGTTAGCAGAGTCTGTAACCTGAAGCGTCTGTAACCCAAGGTACCACTGTACAGAGAAACATAGTCTAAGTGGGCAGCCCTAAAAGGAGACAATTAACAACAACAATTGTATGCCACCCATCTGACTGGGTCGCCCCAGCCACAATATATGCTCAAGAGGTCCACAGTTCAAAACCACACTTCACACCAGCAGCTTCAGACAGGCATAACAGTATGTCATACATACCCATCAGCCATCCTGTTTTAACTGGGACATCCCAGAATGACAGAAGCCATCCTGGTGTTTGATCGGGTTCCAAAATGTCCCAACTTTTAGTCTTGCACAAGAGCACAATAATTGTTTTTGGGTTCCGCACAAGTCAGTTGCCTCATTTTGAAAATGAGAGAAAAATGTGTAGCACCCCCTCTTAGTGGGAAGCTGGAGCTGTGCTCTGTGTGCCCTCTGCCACCTGCATCCCTCCTGAGCACAGTCACCTCTTCCTCTCCAAGGAAGCGGTCCAGCTTCCCTCTCCTTCTGGCCACAGGAAGGACCACCAACGATGGTGCCAGCTGCAGCCTCTGCACTCCAGCTGCCACTGCTGTTCTTGGTGGCCCTCCCAGGGTCCTTGGCAAGGCACGCCTGCTGCTGCGCACCCTGCATGATGCTGCCTTCACCCTCTTGCTGCTGGCCGGGTGGAGGGAGTGCTTCTACCAGGCCACAGCTCCATGGAGCTCAAGTACCAGGTACGGGGGGGGGCTGGTTGGATGGGGCAGTCCAGAACCCAGCCCCTGATCAGGCGCATTGGGAATGAGGCAGGTGGGCAACTGGCCCTCTTCTTCGTGCTTAGTGCCTGGTGATGGTGGAGGAAAGCAGCAGGTAGACGGTGCTCCTGACGGTGGGGTTTCCACTAAATGGGTTTTACTTCTGACAAGACCTGCCTAGGAGAGCATTACCAGAGTGACTATTTTTCAGTGTACAGTATAGAGCCGTAGATGAGGGTTTTTTTAAAAAATGTTTTTAAAGAGAGACGCAAATACCATTTCCTCATCTGACTAATCCTCAGATTAACCCTGTGAGGTATTAGGACAGGGTTCGTTGAACTGAGAGGGAAAACAGTGATGGCCTAAGAAAGTCAGAATATGTCTCGTGCTATCAGGGGAAGGCTTCCTGCTTCCTTCCCTCCCATTGAGGCTAGAAGGGAAGGGCCTGGTGCTTCTGTTTGTGAAAGCAACAACCTCCCACCCAGCTGACGCACTTTCCTCAGCCCTTCCAGCAAGCACAGAGTTACCAAGTTTGAACGCTAAGCAAACACAGGCTTGGCAAGGCCTTTGCCAGCACATCCACCCCACCTTGTTCAAACAGGGCCGAGGACCTGGGTCCTCAGAGGCCAGACATGCCCTGCTGACACTCCAGATGGTCTTCTGAGGGAGATGGGGCAAGTCCCAGAAATACTGGGTTGGCCACAGGACTATGTCCCTGCTTCAATCCCTGGCTTATCATAGCACTGGGCCACCGAACCCAGATTTATCTACATGGGCTGATAGCAGCTCTGTAGAATTAAAAGCAGGAGTCTTTTCCTAGAAGGTTCCAGGGATTAAATGTAGGATGCTTTGCTTTCACCGCTGAACCTTTCATCTTCAAGTTAGAGACGTCCAATTAAAGCAGGACTGGGGAACCGGTGGCCCTCCAAATGTTGCTGGACTACAACTCCCATCATGCTTGACTATTGGCCACACTGGCTGGAGCTGCTGGGACCTGGAGTCTAACAACATCTGGAGGGTCACAGGTTCCTCACCCTAAAGGTCTCTCAGGCAGAGGGTGCTTGGTGCTATCCTACCAGATACACAACCTGACAGCTGAAACCGCCTGCAGCACTCCAAGGAATCCTGATCGTAAATAACAGGATCTGAGAGAGAGAGATTTGCCTGAGATCTCAGAGAACTTCTGTCCATCGCAAAGCCATTCATGAGGAGCCACTGCTCTGAATTGCAGAGCAGCAGCTAATATATAGCAAGCAGCATTCGAAATTCGCCAGGCGCATTTTGCACCTGGCTATCGGCCATTTGCGACCAAGTGAAGATGCTCAGGCTCCAGGATGGTGCCTGACGTCTCCACCATCTTGAGATACATGCCTGGGAATCTCCGTTATATTTTATCTGCACAGTCAGAATGAATTTCAGGAACCAAAACATCATATTGAAAAATATGGCCTTTGCAGCTGCCTGGCCCCAAAATGGCAACTAGGCATTCCATTTGGCGACTGCAACTGTGGGTTTAAGGAGCCGCTGGACCGCTAGCTTATATAACTGAGTTTCTAACACTGATAGCAATTCAGGAAGATCCTGGCTGAAGTATAGTTGTCACAGTGGCCTGTAACCATTAATGGCCACCTCACACACTTAACCTGAAGCCATCTCAGCCCAGGCACTAACTCTGCAGTGTGGATGTCACAGCACAGCTTACCTTTCATGTCAGTCTAGTTTGCGCAAGATGACCCCACAAACCCCACTGAAATAAGAGGGGCTATAAACATAGCAGTCAACTTTTCCCTTTTCTTGCAAGGAATCCTATTCGGAATAAGGGAATTTCCCTTTTAAAAAGGGAAACGTTACAGCTATGGCTATAAATGGACCACCATAATAATTAGCTTCCTGGATCGCACCATTTGGTCCTGCATTTGGGCTCCAGATGTTTGTGTGCCCTCAAACAAGCAAGGCACAAAGGCCTATATCCCCTGGGCTGCTCCTGTCCTGAACATCTACTGTTTACTTATGAACCTGCAGGTGGAAATTTACACCTCAGAAACCAAATTCTGAATTATAAAATGCGAAGTTCAGATTTCAGACTTGGACACCTTCATTTTAAGAAGTTCTGCTTTGGATGCAGATGGGAGGGAACACCACAGAGAGGTTTTTGAAAAGTCAAATATCCCACCGCTCTGAGTTTCGACCCTCAGTATTCCCAGGAAACACTGCAGGCAGCTGGAGGCTCTTTCTTCCTAAGGAACGAAACCGCATGCAAGATCATCCACAACTAAATCAGGTCCCAGTTGCAGAGGTGGTCGGCCCTTTCGACATATCAGACCCATCATCCCTGACCACTGGGCTCCACTGGCTGTGGCCAACATGAGAGTTCAAGATGCTGCCCACACTCCAATTTGAGAACTTCCCGATTCAAAATCCACGCCACAAAATCCTGCTTTATGTTCCACGCGTTCAGAGGTGTGCTTTGTCCTGGGTCAATGTGCGTAGCCTTTCTGCTCAGTTAGGGTCACTCACAAGGACTCGCCTTCCCCCTAACCCTGCACTTGCCCCCCTGGGAAACATAAGGGAGACAAAGGGCGGGGGGGCAGAGGGGGGGGTTGAGGGCAAGGGGACTGGACCAAACAGGCCTTTGTCAGGAGGCCTTGGGGAGAACCTCATCCAGAAGCATCAGGACTCCAGGGACATCCTGCATCTCCCATCTCTTCCCTCGCCCCCCCAGCAAAAAACCCTTCCATTTGTTAAGCGCTGTCTTTTGCCCACCCCCGCTGAAACCCAGGGACCCGGGCTTGGTCTCCCTTCTCCACTCCTTGTTGAAAGCACATTCCCCCCCCCCCCTATTCTTTAGCCCAAAGCGGGGGCGGGGACCTTTCTTCGCAGGATCACTCCCCCCCCTTGGAGAGACTCTGCATTGCAGTGCCCCCGAGTCAGAGCCCTAAAAGTCTCCTCCGCCTAGGAAGCAGGGGGTTTTTTTGAGGGGGGGGAGCGGGAAGGAAGGAAAGGAGGAGAGATGGAGCCGCTTTCCGTCCGGCAGCGAGGAGGGCTGCCGGTTTCCCTGCCTCGCTCACCTCCTTACCTGCTGCTGCTGCTGCCTCCGCCGCCGCCGCCGCCGCCTTCCAGAGCCATGCCGGGAGCAGGAGTCGCACTCGCAGCCCCTTCAGGAATGCCAGGCGACACGCAGGCGAAGCGGCCGGGCTCGGCCGGGCTCCGCCCTGCAGGTGGCTCCCTCCCATCCCCTACCTGGGCTGCGGAGCACAGGTGACAACTCCGCCCTCCCCCTTCCTGCCACCCGGACCGTGCCGGATTCTCGCCTCCCGCAGCCCGGCATCGCCTCGTCCAAGAAGTCGGGTCCAAAAGCAGGCAGGCAAAAGTCACAGCTATGCATATAATGCATATACACACCTCCCCCAAACCAGACAGCTTTTCGTGTCTCTTTTCCCGCTTTCCCTGGAAGGGCTCCTGCGGATATTCGACAGGTGCGCCTATGCCAGCTGTTCCTTCCCATTGTTTTAAGACACAGATGGAGAGAGGGGGAGGGAAGAAGGGTCTACTGAAAAGGTGCTCAGGGTTGGGCATCCATGTGCAAAACTTATGAAACAACTCACCAACTTTTGTTATGGAAAATCACAAGTACCCCTTGCCAGACTGTTGCTTCTTGTTGTTGTTTAGTCGTTTAGTCGTGTCCGACTCTTCGTGACCCCATGGACCACAGCACGCCAGGCACTCCTGTCTTCCACTGCCTCCCGCAGTTTGGTCAAACTCATGCTGGTAGCTTCAAGAACACCATCCAACCATCTCGTCCTCTGTTGTCCCCTTCTCCTTGTGCCCTCCATCTTTCCCAACATCAGGGTCTTTTCCAGGGAGTCTTCTCTTCTCATGAGGTGGCCAAAGTATTGGAGCCTCAGCTTCACGATCTGTCCCTCCAGTGAGCACTCAGGGCTGATTTCCTTAAGAATGGAGAGGTTTGATTTTCTTGCAGTTATGGGACTCTCAAGAGTCTCCTCCAGCACCATAATTCAAAAGCATCAATTCTTTGGCGATCAGCCTTCTTTATGGTCCAGCTCTCACTTCCATACATCACTACTGGGAAAACCATAGCTTTAACTATACAGACCTTTGTTGGCAAGGTGATTGTTGCTTAGGGTCTAGCAACATTTTAAGCATGTTCCAAGCACCCCGGGTATATGCATTTATCCTGTTGGTATAGCCTTTACAACAGTCTTGGAAAATAAGGTCTTTATTATCAGCCTTTCGCAGATTGCAAGACTGAGGGTCAGTAAATAGTATCCACCCACCTATCTGGCTTCTCCTTAATCAATTTCAAATCCCAGACTGGATTACAAAAAGAAAAAGCATATACACACGGGTAAAATCACAGTGGTCAGCCTATGATTTGGAATATTCCACTGCCAGCAATACTACAGTCACAGTATTCAGCTCATAACTGATCAGTTCTCAGTAAAAGCCTGAGATCAACTGTTGTTGCATTGAGTTCAGAAAACGGCCAATGGCAGTGCCAGCTGAATCTCAGAAGCAAAGGCCTCATCACTTCCCCAACTCTGGAACCCTCCAGTACCTTATTTTAAGCATTACAATGTACTAATGTTCCAACAATGGGGGATTTTCCTGTTTTAGGGAACACTTTTGCCTACACCCAAATTGTCTTCTACTTTTACCACCAGTTCCATCTGTATGAAGGCATCCTGCCACTCCAAAACAGCTGCACTATGGTCATTTCCAGACAACCTGTTTCCTGAGCATTTCCCTTGATTCTGTTCGGAGGTTAGATGATATTGGCTGCTTCTTGAGCATTCATTCTGATTTGTTTGCTGGTAGGTTAGTTCCCTGTCACTTTCCTTACTGCAAACGTTTAGCTTTCTTTTTTATTTTTGCAGGCGGAGTGAGGCATTGTTGCCAAGAGTGCTGAAAACAACTTTAATGGTGCATCCTGAATTTGCCAATATGTGATTGAATCCCACCCAAAAATAATGACAGAGTGGAGAAACACTCTTAGTGGCCTAAGAGTGACCCTTATTGCATTGCCACACTGCAAGAGCCCCTGGGTGATACATAGCTTGTCTGGCACTTCTAGATAAACAGCTTGCCCAACCAGGGCAGCTGTACTGTAGCAACCATTATTTCTGTTGGGGAATCTCAGACAGCCCTTTCTCACTTGGAGCATAGAAAGTTCCCAGGTGAGGAGAGCAGAGAACAAAAGCATCATAGACTCACACTTCCACAGGCTCACATACTGATACGCTATGCTATTGATGAGATTTCCATTAAACAATTAGCCTTCTTACACAACCACAGCAGTTCCTATTAGGGAGACTTGAGCAAAGACAACGGGAACACAGACAGGTGGGTGGAGGTGCAAAGCTACAGATCTGATTGGTACTGAGGCTATTTGCTTTGCTAATGGTTTGTCTTATTTGCGAAAGAGAAGCCTTTCTGCATTTTTCAAGAAGGTTCTAATTTTGGTTAGGTAAAAACTGGGGGGGGGCAGACTTTGTGTGTTTGGATTTACAGTAGTTGCTTCCTTCACCACAGATCTCCTAGAATCATAGAATAGTAGAGTGGGAAGGGACCTATAGACCCATATACAATGCAGGAATCACAGCTATAGAAACTGCAACTGTTTAGCCTTGGTTAGTGCCAAAAGAAATATCAGCCTCAAAAACTTTAATTGCTTCCTTGAGATGAATTTCAGGAATAGAAAGAATCCCTTCATTCGCTATCTGCCCTAAAGAACAGGGTAGCTTTATTATTTCCTCTTTCATTGATCTGTTTCTGCACTAAATGTGACCAAACCTGCTTTCTGGAAACGCCCAGAGTCTTGCAGAATGGCCATGTGGTATGGGGAAGTCCACAGGGCAACAGCTATTTTAAGCACCTAGTAAACTTTAAGAAGAGCAGTTCTAAGCTCTGTTAATGTTGGGCGAATGTCACTTGGCTTTCGAAGCTGTTCTGTGGAGGTACTAGGATGTAAAGGAGTTCAGTAAGCTAGCAATAGAAAGCTCAAATCACAAGTCACACACAGAAAGCTTCCATTCTTTCTTGCCCCCTAAAATAGCAGCTGCACTGACCAACAAGGGAATGATAAAATTTACAAAGAACTTGTAGCATTAGAAGTCCTTGTTAAGGAAATGCATGAGAATATTAGGCTGAGTAAAATATTTGGGTCCTGATTAGGGATCTTCTGATGCTCTGGAGATATAGGAGCTTGTGTCTGTGTGCAGTAGCTAGAATCCTAGAGAACTGAAATCTCCTCCCCTTTTGTTAAATATTCTCCAGATGTTTAGCTGCTAAAAAAGCCCCCAAATGTTCTCGAGGTATTTTATACCTGCGTACCTGACAGCCAGTGGCATCTGATTTCAACATTTGATAACTCCAATTGACACTTTGCAATATTTGATAGTTGACAAGCAATGGGTTTTAGTACTGGAGTGTACTGGTGTTTGGTTTTTTTTAAGGTAAAGGGTGGTCTAAACCACTGAGCCTCTTGGGCTTGCCGATCAGAAGGTCAGCAGTTCCAATCCACAATATGGGGTGAGCTCCCGTTGCTCGGTCCCAGCTTCTGCCAATCTAGCAGTTTGAAAGCACACCAGTGCAAGTAGAGAAATAAGTACCACTGCAGCGGGAAGGTAAACAGCATTTCCATGTGCTCTGGCTTCCATCACGGTGTCCCGTTGCGCCAGAAACGGTTTAGTCATGCTGGCCACATGACCTGGAAAGCTGTCTGTGGACAAACAGCGGCTCCCTCAGCCTGAAGCAAGATGAGCACTGGACCCCTTAGTCACCTTTGACTGGACTTAACCATCAGGGGTCCTTTACCTTTTTGTCCATGGAGTTTTCTTGGCAGGGATACTGGAGTGGCTTGCCAGTTCCTGCTCCAGGTGGATCACATTTGGTCAAACTCTCCACTATGACTTGTCTATCTTGGGTGGTCCTGCACGGCATAGCTCACAGCTTCTCTTATTCAAGTCCCTTCGCCACGGCAAGGCAGTGATCCATGAATGGGGCAGTCCTTTTACCTTATTTAAAAAGCACCCTGCTATTAAAATAGCATATCTTCAGGAAAAATCTCCCACATTAACATCTGCACTGCAGAGGATTTGAGGGGGGTGGTATGTGCACTCAATTTGCTTGGGCCAACGCTGGTCCTTTCCACTGCCTACTGGTAAACTGAGAATTTGCATAATAATATACCTAATAAGTGCATGGTTGCACATTGCAAAGGAAGAACAATATGAGTGGCTACATTGTCTTCAGCTGTTGCTCTAAATGGGAAACCACAATAAGACTCCCAAAGAAGCCAAGGTTCCCCAGACCAGAAGAGATAATCTGAAAGCCAGAGATCTAGCATAAATATAATATTGCATAGTTTATAGGCCATAGTACTTATTAGTCAGTATTTATAGCTGACATGCACGAAGAAAGCAAAACACATACCTGAATTTTGCTTTAAAACTCGTGAAAAACTGAATTGTGAAATTAGAAAATTATTTGCAGATGTTCAGAGTTTGCATATTTGCTTCAGCTCCGTGGCTGCAACCCAGAATCAGCCGACTCCACCCTGAACTGAAGAGATCCTACAACTCTCAAGCAACTTCAGGAGCTCTGTGAGAAAGATGCTGCCACTAAATAGGCACATTTCAGTTGCCTTTATTCTTCCCTTCCGTTCATGCATAAAATCTTTCTTGTCAACAACCAGGCCTCCGTCATTCCCAAGGTCTTCAAGCACAATCAGACGTTAAAAACAAAACAAACAGGAGTAAGAAAGCACACAGAGATCCTTGCCTAGAAATCAAGCAACATATGGTGCAAAACAGGTGGCAAGTCGTGTGCACCTCAGAGAAGTGGATTTAATTCCAACATTTGGATTTAAGTGAGCATTACCTCAGGGGTTGGTAGCTAAATTGCTTCCAGGCTCCTGCCATGGCATTTCCACAGGTGCCAAGGGCCCAGTTGTTTGATCCTCACAGTGGCAATCTGGCCTCTCAGCTCCCAACACCAGCTGTGCCTCAAGAGGTGGTTGCTTAGCAACCAACAAAGCAAGGCCTTGCCGCTGCGACAGTATTCCAGGGGTGCGCCTCCTCCTGCCAGCCATCCCTGGGGGAGCTGTGCCAGGGGAAGGCCTGCCTCTTCTGTCAATCATCTACTTGGTTTGCCAGCAGACACCAAAATCTCTGGGAGAAACCTGTCCCATAGTCTCCTGCAGAGCTATTGAAGGGCTGTTGGAAACTGAGGCATCGAAGGAAAACACAGCAAAAGCACTGCTCATTTCAAATCTGGCCTGGAGTTTTGTGCCTATACTGCAAGCACATACCATGAAGAAACCCTGGTCTTGCCCTTTCACCGGGTTCCAGACCAGCTGACCTTCTGACGGAGCCCCACATTTTTCATTGCACCCTCCAGCACTTTTGGCAAGGTAAAGATAAAGGAACCCTGATGGTTAAGTCCAGTCGCAGACGACTCTGGGGTTGCGGTGCTCATCTCGCTTCACTGGCTGAGGGAGCCGGTGTTTGTCCGCAGTTTTTCCGGGTCATGTGGCCAGCATGACTAAGCCACTTCTGGCACAACGGAACACCGAAACCAAAGCAACGCATGGAAATGCCATTTACCTTCCCGCCGTTTACCTATTTATCTACTTGCATTGGCGTGCTTTCGAACTGCTAGGTTGGAAGGAGCTGGGACCGAGCAATGGGAGCTCACCCCCCAGTCGCTTTTCATAGGACTCAGCAAATTTTTATGATACGATAATCTTTATTGCAGAACGAAATTGAAAAATCTACATCAGACATTCAAAAACCCATAAGCCTGCTATCCCAGCCTGGTTAGCCCTTAAAAACTCTTGATACCCCATAATTGAATACAATATACTCACATAAAGACTACCTTACACTGCGTTTAAAACCAAAATTGCATTTGGATAGAAACTGTTTCTCATGCGGCTAGTCCTAGTCTTTATAACCCTGGTACCTTCTTCCAGAAGGCAGAAGCTGAAAGAGATCATTTCCAGGGTGCGCACTATCTCTGCAGCTTTCTTATGGCACCTGGAAGCACAGATTTGATCCAAGGTGGGAAGAGTGCACCCAATTATTCTCTCCGCAGTCTTTACAACCCTGGACAGCATTGCTTTTGCCCCTGACCGTGCAGCTCCCAAACCACACACACAGACCATAAGTTAATACACTCTCAACAGTACAATGGTAAAATGTCATCAACAGGTTCTTTGAGAGGTTATTTTTCTGGAGGATTCTCAGAAAATATAACCTCTGCTGTGCTCTCTTCATCAGGTCTTTACTTTTTTCTCCCCAGGTTAGGTCATTTCTCAACTCCATTCCTAGAAATCGAAACACTGAGACCTGTTCCTCAGGACAGCAAAGTTTTCCCTCTGCCAGGTTGCTCACCTCGCTCTTTCACCATCTCCCTATTTACAAAGCAGCCCGGAGGCTTTGATTGACAGCCCCTACTTGAAGGGGCTGTGCCCTTTTATAAAGCTCCTCCCACCTGTACTTAGCTGTGATATGCCAAAGAGGGGAACAGGTCCTGGGGACAGGCTGGAGCCTACAGCAGCTTCTTCTTGGTCACAGTGTCTTGAGGTCCAGGGAAATATTGTGGACCTCGGATTATGAACGCAAAGACTATTCTTGCCAAGACTTTGTTTTAAAGCTGATGCAAGAAGCACCAAACTGGTGGCATTTATGTGCCAATGAACTACAGACAACTCTTAAAAGGACACTTGCTTTTAAAATCCTAGCAGAAGCTTCCTCAGCAGCTATTCTACACTGTTTTAAACCGTTTTTTTATAATTCAGTATTGAAATCCATTGCAAAAAAAACACCACCACCAAATTAAGATAACACAATTTTGAGGGGGGGGGGCAGGTGTCACAAAAACCTTTCAGCATCACAGCAAGAGTAATCAGCAATTATTTTAAGGATAAATGAGGGGGACGGGTTTCTTGGAGATGCAACAAAAGCATTTGGGCATTGACAAGAGCCTATGGGAGTAGTCCGATTATTATTTTTTAAGTCTTTTTTTTTAGAAGCAGGAAATAGTGGGGCTGTGGGGGGGGACACGGAGACCCAAAGGACTGGTCATTCAAAAAAACCCCACTAATTTTAAAAACTATTTTTTAAAGTAGCAAATTGGAGGTGGGGTCTTGGGGACTACAAACCTCCCATCTCGGGGCAGAAACATAAAATCCAGATCTTCTCCCCCCCCCACCGCAATCCTGTGGCTTGACTAGTGCCACCAATTATGGCTAGAGCCCACCTGTCTTTTTGCCCCCCGTTGTAAAAAGTTAGGTGCAATGAGGCAAAAGCATATGCTCAATGCTCCGAAAAGAGAGAGAGACATATGCAAATACACTTCTTTTCGTGAACCTGTTCTGTTTTCACACTTGGTTAGCTGCAAAATTAAGCAACTGCAAAATTCCTTCTTTCTGGCAAGTAGCAAGGCAATGACAGGGCACATGGCAGGTAGAGAAAAAGCAGTGCTGGGAGATAACAACCAATACTGCAACCCCGTCCTTGGAAAGCACTGTGGCCTCTTGCAAACTGATATGACCCCGAGAACAGGAAGTGTAATTATTTAAGAAAAGGCGAGGCCCTCTCATGTTTACACGGCGCACACCCGTTATATGCACACATATATACACACACACACTGCTTCTGCTGGATCTCCCTTCCATCAGCGAAGCTCTAGCATCTGCCTGTGTATTTGAATCATGCTGCAATCCCCTGTAGGTTAAAACTATGAAGCTGGAGTCAAATTCAGAAAACAGAATCCAGGCACTGGCAAATAATGACACCCCCGATACAGAAGAGAGCAGATGGCAGGAGGGGAGAGGAAGCTGCTGCTTCTAAGCATTAATCTCAAGTAATTAGCCAATTTAGGGAGAGGCAGCCAAAAGACAGCTGATGTGTGTGGGCGCGCATGCAAACGCCTCTCCCTCTCTCACACACACATGCACACAGTCACCAAACGCGGAGCAGAAATGAGCAAGTTGGACCTGAATTGCTACTCACAGGACACCTGCCATTAATCACCATGTTGCTTGGAGGGATCAGAGCCTCTCCCCCCCCAACAGAATCCAGTTCCCAGCCAAGTTTCTCTGGCCACCGAGAACACCCATTTCAACGAGCCAACCGTGCACATGGCACATGGAAGAGGCCAGGAGCCTGGAGGAGCAGACAGAGGAGCATCCAGACTGACGGGAGCAAGCCCTGTGTTACTGAGCAAAGGCCCCAGCTGGTGCCAACCAGAGGGAGCATTATGTGGGCACATGGCCACCCAAGTGCTTGGGGGGAAAACGCCTCCAAAGGTCAAGGAGGCATAACATTACATAGCAGACGAGTTGGGCCCTTCTTGCTCTGGAGAGAACTAGAAATGAATACTGAAACTTCTGGACCTGCGAAAAGGTCAGCTGCAAGAACTTGGACCACAAGCGTAGCTTGGCTGTCCTGGACTTGCCTGGTTCAAGGAAGCCTGTCTCTTCCTTTAGCCTCAGTTTCCCTTGCACAGAGAAACACCAAGACCTAACAAATAAATTATTAGCTGCCCAAAACTTGGTAAAAGATGCTACTTTCTAGCCTACTTAGCCAGTATCCTTTCAAGAACTATTTTGAACATGGCAGCAGTCCTCTTCTTCTGTTCTTTTTGGGACTTCTTCTTCTTGTGTTGCCTGGAGCTCTTAACACTCAGACCCATTCCATTTGGAAATTAAAAAAACAAGACACATTCACTGAAGGAGATCCATGTCCCTTTCCTGCCACTGAGTGGTTTCGAGAGCTTGTTTATTTCATATTTCATAGTGCCCACAATAGTGCTCCATCAGATACAGAGAAGAAGCAGATCTCTTCAAGGCGACACCCACCCAAAACTTGGAAGGATAAAATGTCCCATGTTTGCAGCTGGGGGCACAACTGGCAGGTCGCCCAAACAGAACTGCAGTTAACTCATTAGCTAATTCCCCAAAAGGGGCCTGGTTGGTGGTCTTTGCTCTTTTCAGACTTAGCAAGTAAAGCTGGTCAATTTTTTAATATTTTTTTTGCAAGCCATTTCTCCTCTAGTTCTTTCCACCCATCTCTGATAAAATACACAGCTGCAGTTTCTCTCACCAAGACCTCAGCACCTGAGAGAATGTGCTTAAATCAAATTGCTGTGTCAAGCAGCTGAACTGTTACATGTGAACACATTTTGCAAAGTAAGCAGTGTTGTGTATTGCTTGCTTATTTTGCATACAGTGGTACCTCGGGTTAAGAACTTAATTCGTTCTGGAGGTCTGTCCTTAACCTGAAACTGTTCTTAACCCGAGGTACCACTTTAGCTAATGGGGCCTCCTGCTGCCACCGCACTGCCGCGCCACGATTTCTGTTCTCATCCTGAGGTAAAGTTGTTAACCCAAGGTACTAATTCCAGGTTAGCGGAGTCTGTAACCTGAAGCGTTTGTAACCCGAAGTGTTTGTAACCCGAGATACCACTGTAACTGATTCTGCTTTTTAAGTCATCGACTGGGGAAGAGAAGCTATGCAAAGGCCCCTGTCCTGTAAACCTCAAGGTCTCAGGCACAGGATTCAGCACCCAACTTCCACTCCTGGGCAACACACTCAGTACCTTTTCAGTCCATCCTAGGAGTCAACTACTGCTGCTCTGAAGAGAGCCATAAATCAACAGTGACATGTGACATCATTCTTCAGCTCCCACTTCTAAAAAAGTTTTCCATGCCACCTCGATCATCAGCTTTTTGGGTTTGCTTTACTACCCAAAGATACCTCGATGCTGTCTGAATGCCTAAGCCAAGTCACAAACTCAAGTGGAACAGCCATCTCAGGAAGCTTTCAAACGGGGTTCACAGTGGTACCTTGGTTCTCGAACTTAATGCGTTCTGGGAGTCCATTTGACTCCCAAAACCGTTCAAAAACCAAGGCTCGGCTTCCGATTGGCTGCAGGAGCTTCCTGCACTCAATCGGAAGACGCGTCTGACGTTCAGCTTCCAAAAAACGTTGACAAACCAGAAGACTCATTCCAGGTTTGCGGCATTCGGGAGATTTGTTCAGGAGCCAAGCCGTTCGAGTACCAAGGTACCATTGTATTTCAGCGGAGAAAAGCAACTTTGCTTATCAAATCAGGAGAATCTGCACTCTTTGGCCCTTACCTACAGCCATGTTCATAACCACCGGATACTCGCTTTCAGGCTTGAGAACCAGAAATTCCCCTTTCTTCATGTCTTCCCTGCCTCTCCCCCCCGAAAAAAAAATCACATTAGTTTTACTTATCCAGTACATATTTCACACTGTCAGTCATAGCCACAGAACAATATCACACAATTTAGCAGTAATTTATGGCTTCGGAATTTATTTTTGAGGCATAGAGGCAATACTCCTGATCCCTCTGCAGTGGGCATGTGCTGAGGAAAGAGTGGGACTCGAGACAGGATTGTTATGAGGGTAGAGGGGGAAGACAGTAGTCAATTTCATGGTTCATCGAAGAAAACGGGGGTTTAGACAGGTGATACTGACAGTTTTATTGATGTTCAAACCAGCAACAATTTTGACCAACATTCCTATGATAAGGTGAAGGATGAGCTAAACTGGAGGAAACTCTGCAGTTCTGTGCCTGTGCATCTCAAGTTCAAGGTCAATTTCACTGGATATTAGAGACTGAAGCCAAGTACCAGATCAGCTTCTTGGCGAGATCAATCAGGATATGTTCAAGTGCAGTCAGTTCAAACTCAAGCTTCAAAAAGGTACATCAAAGCAGAATTTTCCTTTTTTAAATTTTCCTATAAAGATTTGCGAAAATATGCCAATTTGATATTTCCCACCAAATTAAAAAAGCAAAGCGCCCCCCCCCAACGTTTAACAAAGAGATTCTGTATTCCCCAATACTAATGGGTTTCCTTTAAGGGGGGGGGAGTCCTTAAAATGCAAGAATCTTTCAAACAACAGGTAAATCAAGTTAATACTAGAAAATATTAATTTCCTTAAAACTTCCACAACACAGAAAATGTTAAAAATGGAATTCATTCAATGGACACGAGTGCCAAAAAGCCGCTTTTAAAAGACTCGCGTTTCAAGATGTTAATGTTAAAACAATTTGAAATTAAACTCTGCTGAGCAATGTGTTACATGAGTGATGAGCCCTGCTTAGGCAAGTCTGGGGAAGCGAGACGGCAAAGGCAGTTCGGCCACTTCTCCAATTCTGCAGAGTAGCCATGGGAAGTGGGATAAACTCAAACAGTCAAAGTGCCCCAAAGGGCAACCGTTTCACCAGGCCCCAGTTTCCAGTACTACTTCTGAGAATTAATTTAAGAAGAGTGCCAAAGAGCTGCAGTTACATGGTGGGTGACTGCTTAGCAGAGGAGGATGAAAGGTAATACCAGGGCTGGGAAAAGGGGTTTATGTGCAACATTACAAGGTATTCCTCCATCGTGGCACAGCCTCTTCAGTGCAAGCACAGTTATCAAAAAGATCATCAGAAGGCAGGTCACCCACCTAGTGCAAGCAGCTCTCTGGAACACGGATGAAGCACTGGGCTTCTTTCAAAGGCCAGTGGAAAGGGAAGGGAATAATACTACTGACAGAATTAGCTGATGAGCCCAGACATATTTAGGCATTGTAGCACTGTGCATTGGTGGGGGGGGGAGGGAGGGGGGAAGGATTTGCAAACAAAAGAGCAATCTGTTTGCACACACGCAGTCAGCTCAGATGGGAGGAGGTCCAATCGAACCCATCTGCCATGTCAACCTTTCCCTGAACATCCTGCTTGCCAGTCCAAGGACTGTCGTGGGATGCAGCTGGGCTCAAATGCAGCCCTTGTTTCTTGGGGAGGGAAAGAGGAGCAGGTGCCTTAGTTCTGCTTTTCCCCCAACTGCCCAGTTTCCAAGGTAGAGTATTTTCCTCCAGCCAGCAAAATTGCCTGGGACATTCTAAAATCATACCATTCCCCCATATCCCAATACGTGCCCCTTTAAATAAACGAATATTTATATAGAGAATTTTATATAAAACTCTTTTCTTTTATCACTCGTCATCAAAGTTCTGACTCAGCAGGAAGTTGGCCGCCAGGTTCTCATTCTTCTCGCAAGCAAAGTAGGCCTGGATCACCAGGCTCTCAGGGAAGCCCAAGGCCTTTAACTAAGGGAGAGAGAGAAAGAGAAAGAGGAAAGGAAGGGGGAAAGTTAGAAACGCTCTGATTGGCAACACTGTGCGTCCTACAATCTCACCTTTCCTGTAAGGAGCCAACTGCCAGGAATGCTGCCAATGATGATGATGATAAATAATAATAAAAAAGGTAAAGGGGCCCCTGACCATTAGGTCCAGTCATGACTGACTCTGGGGTTGCGGCGCTCATCTCACTTTACTGGCCAAGGGAGCCGGCATTTATCTGCAGACAGCAGACATGTGGCCATGTGGGTCATGTGGCCAGCATGACTAAGCCGCTTCTGGAGAACCAGAGCAGCACACGGAAACGCCGTTTATCTTCCCGCTGCAGCGGTACCTATTTATCTACTTGCACTTTTTGGTGTGCTTTCGAACTGCTAGGTTGGCAGGAGCAAGGACAGAGTAACGGGAGCTCATCCCGCCATGGGGATTCGAACCGCCGACCTTCTGATCGGCAAGCCCTAGGCTCAGTGGTTTAACCCAATAATAATAATAATAATAATAATAATAATAATAATACACAGACCCCCCTTATGGGAGATCCCAACATGCTTATCCTGTGTTGGGTCAGGTCTGGGCAAGGCGAGTACCAAAATAAGGACCATGGCACTCTACAGCATGGTTCACCACAGGAGCGGAGTAGGCAGACATCATTAGTAGGGCTAGCGTAATTATCAGTTCAGCTGCAAAAAAGGCTCGTTCTTGTGTTGTCACCCTTCATGGAGGAGGCACACGAAGAAGGGCCTCAGGTGATCTCAGGGTCTGGGCAGGTTCATATGCTCCCATACTGTGGTATGCCCTTCCTCTTCACTTGCCTCAAACATAAGATATATATTTTGCTCAGGCTTTCCCTGGCCCTTAAGACTGGACCTTGTTATTACTGAACTCTTGTTTTTATAATACAGCTTTACAGGTTCTTGTTTTTCTTTCTGCTTTTGTGATACTGTTTTATTGTTTACTTGTTTGCACACCACTTAAAGATTTTAACATATCAAGCAGTTTAGAAATGTGTTGGTTTTTTTTAGAATCAACAAATATTTCAGTACAGAAAACTGGCTTGTTTGGTGCAGAACTGGCTTATGAATAACCATGGTTCTATAGCCTTAAAGGTAAAGGTAAGGGGACCCCTGACTATTAGGTCCAGTCGTGACCGACTCTGGGGTTGCGGCGCTCATCTCGCTTTATTGGCCGAGGGAGCCGGCGTCCAGCTTCCGGGTCATGTGGCCAGCATGACTAAGCCGCTTCTGGCGAACCAGAGCAGCGCACGGAAACGCCGTTTACCTTCCCGCCAGAGCGGTACCTATTTATCTACATGCACTGGTGTGCTTTCGAACTGGTAGGTGGGCAGGAGCAGGGACCGAGCAACGGGAGCTCACCCTGTTGCGGGGATTCGAACCGCCGACCTTCTGATCGGCAAGCCCTAGGCTCTGTGGTTTAACCCACAGCGCCACCCGCGTCCCTCTATAGCCTTAGAGAAAGACAAAAGCGAATTAAGCAAAACCACATGTTCAGAGCTCACATGCCAATCAGTTTATTGCCAGGCTGCTGGCACTTCTTGCCCTAAAGCTCCTGTGCTGCCCTCAGACTCTACTGCGGGGCTGACTAACCTGTGAGCACTGAGGGAGTAGTTTCCAGCATCCCTGCCCATAGGCCATGCTGGAGGTGGCTGGTGGGAGTCCAACATTATCAGGAGGTCCACAGGTCAGCCAGCCTAGCTCTAGCCCACACAGCAAGGTGATGGGGAATGACTTATAACACTAGGCAAAAACCTGAAAGTCCCACCCTTTCCACTGTACCCACCAAGATGCCTCTGTAGCCTACAGGAACTAGCGCAAGACGTGGAGGCCACCACCCTGGCCGCTTAACTGTTCTGTATCTCATGAGGGAGCAAATCCTACAGGGAGAAGCAAGAGCAAGAGACTTCCCTTCTTGTCCCTGCCCCAGGCCACTGCTCCCCTCTTTTACCCTTTCAATGGCTTCTTTTTCCTGAGGCGTGACTTGGATGTAATTCATCTGAGGGGCTTCCTCCCCAATAGCACCCATCTCTCCTTCAATGTCTGCGATGTCAGGTACTTCACCCAGTGGTTCATTGAGCATCTGAATGAACTGCTCCTGGTGTTGGCTGATTTGCTGGAGAAGGAGGAAGAGAAGAACTTGTTGTTATCAATTAACACATGCCTACACCCCGCGACCCCTCAGGGCCCCTGGGACAGCAAACCTCACACAAGCACCTCCAAAGGACACCAAACCCTCGCATGAGACGCTCCAATTTGAGGGGAAGAGAGGAGACCTGACCTGCCGTCCTTTTCTCCTACGTTGAAGTCCTCACTCTTATGCCACTGAATTTTCAAGTATGTTGTATTCATAATCCTCCTCCTCTAGCCACAACACACACTGCATCCGCTGTTAAAGCTTGCCCATATATAATTAAGGCAAAGCAAAGGAAGATGACTGAGCCAGCAGTGATCACCCTAACCCAGGGGTCAGCAAACGTTTTCAGCAGACCTTGTGGGGGGCTGGACTATATTTTTTTTTGGGGGGGGGGAATGAACGAATTCCTATGCCCCACAAATAACCCAGGTATGCATTTTAAATAAAAGCACACATTCTACTCATGTAAAAACACAAGGCAGGCCCCACAAATAACCCAGAGATGCATTTTAAGTAAAAGGACACATTCTACTCATGTAAAAACACGCTGATTCCCAGATCATCCACAGGCCAGAATCTAGAAGGTCATTGGGCCAGATCTGGCCCCTGGGCCTTAAGTTTGCCTACCCATGCCCTAACCCAAGGCCTAGGGTAGGCAAATCAGGAGAACTGGGAGGAAACTGAGCCATGAGGGTTGGCAGCAACATTTAAAGGAGGAACCCCAGGGAAGCAAACACTCATCTGAGAAGCAGGATCTGGCTGTACAGGTCAATGACATGCAAACAATGCACAAATGGTGCTGCCTAGCCAGGTTAGCATACCCACTTGGCTCTGTTATGCCTGCTTTTTCTGCTGAAATACCAAACAACAGCCAGAGAGATGCTGAGCGTCATGCTGCCCATGCTGGCACCAGCGGGATCTCAGACCAGTGTAACTTTGACCCATCTGGTTGCTCCAAGGCTGTGCCCAACAGACTGAGACAACAAACAAAGCCCGTCCGCTCAGTTACCTGCAGCAGCTGAGGGTTCTCTTGGCCTAACTGCTGGAGCAGGGCTGGGAGCAGAGCTGGGTTCTGCTGGATCACCTGGCGCATGTTCTGGAACTGGGGCTGGTCTCGCAGAAATTCCAGAGGGTTCTCTCCTGTAGATCCAATGAGTGTTAAAGCCATGCATGCGAGCAGAACAGCAGCAAATGGGGGAGGGGCTGGGCATGTGGATAGAGAGAGGAGTGCGTATGAAGCCATCAAGGCGCAGCACTCTCCCAACACACCACTAGCCAATGCACTGCAGCCTAGTTAGGCACAACTGCTACTCCCCATAGTCCACCGCTCCAGTAAACTGTTTATATGAAAGGAGGGGACACACACCTTCTGGTGCCGACTGCTCTTGGGGTTGGCTCTCCTGGATGGAGGCTCTCTCTGGTTCTGGGCTACCTGGGATACCCTGCAAAGTTAGAGAAAGCAAAGTTAACGGAACTACTTCCAGATCATACACTTTTCAAGATTCCATCCACAGCACGCTAATGGATACCTCAGAGACTGACGGTGTGCGGGAACTGTTAAAGGCAAAACAAATTATGAAGACAATTTCTGTTGGGGCAAGACTTCCAGTGACAGGGGGGAACATTTCTGCTCTCCAGATTTCCTTGCCCAAGTCCAGTCGTGTCTATTGCCTGCTCACATCTCTTCAGTTTCAATTTTATTTCCCCGTATTATGTGACTAAGGATGTTTGCTTACATTTACAAAATGTTCATTCTGACGGGATTTTTTCTGACTTCCAAATTTACTTTAATGTAGGAGTGCAAGTATCCAGCCCTCAGTCCTTTGCAAAGTGCCCAACTAACCTCACAACTGTTTAGATAAAGCAAGCTCCTTGGTTGGCATCCGTGGTCTTCCTCTGTGCTATACTAAGCAGGGGAGACACCAGAGCAAGCAAGATGCACAGAGCTGAGAAACCAGTATGGAGTCATCCTTCTAGAGGACCTGTCTGAGATGGTTCAGAAAGCATGGTGCTCTGCCTCTTTCAAGCAACCCAGGCTAGCAACAGAGTTGTGGCGGCAGTGAGCAGAAAATGATTATAGCACACCAGTGAAGTGGAAGGGAAAAGAAGCCAGGAACACCCCTTGAAGAACTGGAGGAAAGCCCAAAATATATTGATGAGGGTAGGACAAACCCAGCATTTCTCCTTACCGTTAGCAGGTATTCCACAGCCCGGTGAGGGTTGTTGTAGCTGGCCCGTAGAGCTGCCACCACCCGCTCTCGCTCATAGCCCATTGACATGATTTCATTCAGCATTGTCTCATACTCTGAGCCAGTAACTGGAAGCGGAAATGGAAGACAGTTTGACGTTAGGGGAAGAAAATGTGCAACTATTTCCACCTGACCCATGCATATGGGAAGGGGAGCAAGATGGGCAGCTGGACTGGAAGGCAACAGGTCACTTTGCCATTGCCAGCATCCTCATTACAATGTCTGCAGAACCAGGAAGCCTTGTACTCTTGGGGCTTTGAACATCAGTAAGCTCCAAAGTTTCAAATCCAGTTTCTGTTCCCAGATCTTCAAAGTCCCTCTAATGGCTGAGAACAGAATTAAGATCTCAAGCCTCTTTCCACCCAGAGAGAGAGCCCTCTCAAAAGCCCCCTGAGTTTCCCTACTAAATCTCATTCCCCTTACAGAACTGGAGGCTGCATCAGGATTCATGGGTTTTAACTACTAGACTACTTCCAGAAATGGGGATGGAATCCAGAATTTCCAGTTTCCATGGCCATAGCTCAAGTGCTAGATGCTGCTCCTTATATAACACAACCATAGTGGGCAAGCAGGTGCCCACTATGCCGTAACTTTGATGGAAAGAATACAGGTATCAGTGGCTGTTGACAGAATTTGGGGGTGAAATCCGCTGAACTGTTCCCACAAGCAGTGTTCAACTTTTAGACCCAGGATCCATCTTTAACCCTAACCTGCAACATGAGACCCACTTAAATTTTTTTACTATGTATGGTTTTCTTTTGCTGCCTTCTCTCCCCTAGAGCAAAAATGATGGTGCAGTCTCAGTTGCAACCCACTTGTGGCTCCCAGCTGACGCTTGCATGCCGGATCCCCATGAAACAGTGGTGGAAGGAGAAGTGTTTTAACCACTAGAGACCGTTAGAGGGCAGCACTTCCTAAGTTATCCCGTGCTGTATTGTATTTAGAAGTCCATCAACCATGGATCTGGAGACCATAGAAATTTACCAGTCAAAACAGCGGAATAGGAGGAGAGTGGTCCCAATCTTATAAGAGCAAACTGCAGCCAAGGAGCTGAGAGCTCTCCACTGTGGCAAGCGAAGGAAAGGCGCTCACCTACCTAAAGTGGAAGCTGCATCATCTTCACGTCCCATGCTACCTGAAGAGGGAACAGAGCTGCAAATTTAAGAGAGAGAAATAGTAGCTGGGTCCTTTCAGATAACTGGCCAAGAAAACTGAAAAGCCAAATACAAACTAAGCAACAGAACAGCTGGTTTTCCCTTCAGTCATACAATCTCTCTCCTACCCCCATGGCTGACAAACAGCAGGCAACTGCTTTGCCTAACGATTCTTACCACCACCAAGGCCTGGAGTGCAACTACAATCGCCACATTTCAGGGGTACTGTTCTGAGAGTGGGTAGTGGTGCTAAAACTGGTGGTACGAATCTATGAAGCAACAGAGGCCAGGAGAGGAGGGCTGCTCACCCCCAAAACACATGCTCTTATGTACCTTCTTGTTTCCCGCCCCAATCCTGCACCCTTTTTATAGCCGTCTAATAACACCAGTTAGCAACCCAAGCTGCATTCTGACATCACAGACCCTCACCTCCCTCTTCCTCTCCAAGACTGAGATTGAGGCACCTAGGCTGTGTGGTCTGCAGCCCACTGTCAAACCCACTCAAATCTCCACGTGTGCAGAAAGAGTTTCACCGTTAAAGTCCTCAAACGTAGAGGAAAGACTGGCAATAAAATCTAACAGCTAAACAAACACAAGACCACAACCGGCTGGTCCAAGTGATGGTAGGCTAATTTTGTGTCCCATTAGCATCTGCTCTAGAAGTTATCCCCCAATCAGTTTACTCCAAACATTGTTGGATTTTCAGAACCAATCATGATTTCCAAGGCCTAGAATTTCTCCCTCCATTATATCATTCCAGCGTCACCTACAAAACAAATGAGAGTGCGGTGGGTGGCAGGGCAAGCCAAACTTACCCAACTGATTCCTGGGGGGAAACAGTCACTGACTCTTCAGGAGGCTTCTCCTCACTTGTTGGAGTTCCTAGTGGGGGTGAAACAGTAGCTGCTCCAGGCAGCAGCATCTGTCCAGAGGATGGTGTAGGCTCTGATGGGGGCGCTGCCTCACTTGGTGAGGGGACAGGAGCTCCTGAGCCTGTTTTGTTCTGAACAGAAAATCAAAATGAGACTTAGAAGAAGATACAATGCATTTCTATCCCACAGAGAAAAGCAAAGGGGATTGACCTTCAAGTTAATTCTGAGAAACCAAGAGAAGCGACTCCTGGAATTTTCAATGCCCTGTAATCGCCTTTCTTGGATGCGCCCACACCCCAAGGCCGAAACCTGCACTGTCAGAAACACGCACCAAATCTGCTTCCTAGCACACCATCCTTTGAACCGCAGCAAGGCGGGGAGGGGAGGGGAAGCTACTGAAGCAGAATCAGTCTTCTGTTCCCAGGAAAGCATTCCCATGAAGCAACGGAGGTGCCCAACCATACCTTGGTGACCATCACCACCACAAAGTTCTTCTCATCAATCTTGTACTCCTTGATAGGGACATCATCACTCAGGATCTTGCCAGCATAGATAAGCTTCTGTCCCGACACTGGGAACGCTTCCTTGCCCTTTTCAGCCTCAATCTTCTCCTTAAGAACTCGGACCTGTGGGTCAAGACCAAACTGGTTCCACCATCTGTCTTGTACTGAATGCCTGAGAGTCAAACTTTTTCCACCCCAATAAGCGTGGCTATAGAGATATTTGAATTGGTCCATAAGCCACATTCTTCCAGCACAGTGAACTCTGTCCCGTATCTAATGCTCTTCTGAGTACTGTCTTTACTCCTAATGAGGAGAGATGGGTTCAGAAAGTCCCTTGCTTCTAAAAGCTTTTAGGAAAGCCAAATCTGTTGCCCTGCCATCTATAAATACCAAAAGCAAGAGCAGACACACACTTCATGTTCACCAGTTCAAAAAAACTATCCCCCCCCACCAGTACCATTAATAGGCAATCTTCCCAGATTCTGGGACTGCTCTCCATTCCCACAAACACAGTACAGCTCCACACCTCTGTAGGATTTTATTATATGGTGCTTGGCAACATATAAACACCACATTCTGCACTACTGTCAAGGTTCAGAGAATCCTTTCCCTCCCCTGGCAGCAAAAAAAGCAGGTGACAAGAAGAGTCCTTACCATGTAATTTATTCAAGATTTACAGAGCAAGACAAAGGAATGTAGTCCCTATCCATCAATGGCGTTGCTCCAAGTAAAGTCCCACCCCCCTATGTCGTCCCTATTCTACGTCACCCATGCGCCAGCTAATCTAAGTTTTCTGCCTCTGAGCTCTCTGTTCTACTACTCTCAAGGCATGCCTGGTTCTGGGAGAGGGTAGTCAGGAATGCTTTCTAAAGACACTGAGTCTGTCAGCTGTCTCTTCCCTGGTGCTTTTTCTTCTTCCTGCTGTTCCTCTTCCAATATTTCCCAGCTTCTGCCCTCTGCAGCCTCTGAACTATGCTGCTCTGCAAACCACTGTTCTAAATCTATACCAGGCACAGGCAAACTCGGCCCTCCAGATGTTTTGGGACTACAACTCCCATCATCCCTAGCTAACAGGACTAGTGGTCAGGGATGATGGGAACTGTAGTCCCAAAAATATCTGGAGGGCCGAGTTTGCCTATGCCTGATCTATACTGTCCTCCTGTTCTCGGGAAGGTTCAGGAGAAGGGGGGGCACCATTCAGTCCAGCCCCTGACAACTACATTTGTAAGAACTCAATTGTTTCATGGGGCAGCACCCAATCTTTGTAACTCCCTGCCTATTGAGATCAAGCTGGCACCTTCACTGTACAGTTTTCAGCACCTGTTAAAAACATTCTTGTTTCAAAAAACCTATGCAATGCTTAGAAAGTTGAGGTAATTTTAGTATTTTAATTTTCGTATGCTTTAAATATGGTCATGGATTTTTCTTGATTTTCTTGCTTATCTTTTTGTAAGCCGCTTTGAGGTAGTTTTTGTTTTGTTTTTTACAATCAAGCACTGTATACATTTTATGAAATAATAATAATAATAATAATAAAATAAAAACAATCATCATCCAAAAAGAGAAGGTTCAAAAAATGAAAGGAGGTCTTGGATTTAAACAAAAAAAACTTCCTTGATAGGGCACAGAAAAACTTTCACCTTTGTGAACAGTCAGCAATTGCACAGTCAGTGGTTTAGGTTAAAAAGGAATTTTGCAAGATGAGATTGCATAGGGAGGCCGTTGTCCTCTGCATTGTGTGGCTGTCTCTCTTGAATGAATCCCCAAAGGTGTTTTACTTCTATACTTCTGTGCAGGGTGAGACAATGGATGATGCCCTGGCTGTACAGTTAAATTTTGATAAAAATAACTCAGTCCACCAGGATGCAACATATACCTCGCACGAAAGGGATCATGCAGCTTGTGACCAAAAAAATTTTTTTTCCCCTTTCAAAAGGTCATGTTTGGGAATCCTTACTAAAACAGTTTTGGAACTTGAATCAAATCAGAACATGATAAAAGCTAGCAAATTGGTTAAGTTCAGGGCTTATTCATATATAGGTACTGGTGTTTGAAAGGATTTACTTTGTTCCACTGAAGTTAAAAGCAAGTTGCCAAAGAGGCATGCCTCTTGACCCACAATAGGCAGAGACTGAAAAATAATAATGAATTCTTAGCAGTTACCACTCCTCCTATGTGTTCTTCCAAAATTATATGACAAGGGAGGAATCAAGGTGATTACTCCAGATTTATGTTACTTTTAGTATCTGGATTCATATTCAGACTCACTTCATTCAAACAAAACCAGATGAATCAGTATAATGTTGAAGCACAGGAGGCAGAAATCTACCTATAAATAGCATGGGTAATAAAATACATAAAACACTGATTTAAAATCAACAACTGAGGAAAGATAGATCTTGGTGGTGGGAAAGAAGCTACCAAAACAATAATAAATCTGATAGACTGTGCCCTAGGACAGTTGGTCATGGAACTGATCAGAAGAGTGGCAACCCTGGACCTAATCTTGAGTGGTGCCGATAACCTGCTGAGAGATGTGGGTACTGTTGAACCAATTGGGAATAGTTACTACAGTGCTATCAAATTCAATTTATATACAATGGCCAAGAAAACCCAAAAGTCACATTTGACTTCAATAGAGGGAACATCCCAAAAATGAAGGAATTGGTAAAAAGGAAGTTTAAAGGCAAAGTCAATAGGGTCCCATTTCTCAAAATGTTCAGGGGTTGTTTAAAACCACACTAGAAGCTCTGTTTAAATGTAAATATCAAATCAAAAAGGTACCACCAGGGCCAAGAGGATCCCAGCATGAATAACAAGCAGAGTTAAAGAAGCTATCAAAGGCAAGAAGGCTTCCTTTAGAAAATGGAAATCTTGTCCAAATGAGAAGAAAACACAACACAAACTTTGGCAAAAGAAATGCAATTGAACAATAAGGGATGCTAAAAAAAGAATCTGAAGAGCATCTTGCTGAAAACATAAAGACTAACCACAAACAATTATTTAAATACATTGAAAGCAGGAGACTGGCTAGGGAGGCAGTTAGTTGGACCTTTGAATGACAAGGAAGCTAAGGTATGCTGAAGGAGAAAAAGGAGATTGCAGAGAAGCTAAATGAATTATTTGTACGTATCTGCCTGCACAGTAGAAGATATATGGGAGACCCCTGTACCTGAACTAACTTTTAGAAGGGAACCTGCCAAACTGAGGCAATTAGAGGTGAAAAGATACAAAGTTCTTACAGGCCCTTATTAAAAAATACATAATTTGACAATTGCTGAGTCTGGATGGCATCCAGCCAAGAGTTCTGAAGAAACTCAAATGTGAAAATACTAAACTTCCAACAAAAATATGTAACTTATTCCTAAGATACCTGCCTCCATACCTGAACACTGGAAAATGATCAATGTAGTGCCCTTTGACAGGGAGGGAGGGGGGACTAGGGGCAGGGGTAATCCTGGAAACCACAGACTGGTTAGCTTAGCATCTCTTCCAGAAACTGGTTGAAAGCATTGTTAAAGATAGAATTATCAAGCATACAGAAGAACAAGTCTTACTAAAGCAGAACCAGCATGGCTTCTGTAAAGGTAAGTCCTTTCTTACTAACATTTTCAGTTTCTTTGAGAAATAAGCATATAGATCAAGGTTACCAGACGTCCCCATTTCCTGGGGACAGTTCCTGGATTTACAAATCAGTCCCCTGACAAAATCCATCTATTTAGTAGGGAGTTGAAAAGTGTCCCCAGATTCATTGAAAAAAAATCTGGTCACCTTAATATAGATAGAGGTAACCCAGTTAACAAATACTTTTTTTAAAGCTTTTGACAAAGTACATAAGGTACCTCATCAAAGACTCCCAAGCAAGGTTAGCAGTCATGGAATAAGAGGAGAGGTGCTCTTCTGGATCAGTAACTGGTTAAAAGGCAGGAAACAGATAGCAGGAATAAATGGACAGTTCTCCCAATGGGAGGAATGGTACAAAGTGGAGTCCTCCAAGGTATTGGGATTTGTGTCATTCAACTTGTTCACAAATTATCAAGGAGCAATGAAGTAACGAAGTTTGTTGATGACGCCAATTTTTTCAGGATGGACAAAAAAAAAAATTCTTAGTTTCACACATATATTTATGGGGTCTTAACTAGCAGCAACTGACCAGGAACAAGATGGATAGCTTGATAAATATATTGACTAAGAGTGCAGCAGCTGTGAAAAAGGTGAATGCCATGCTAGAGATCACTAGGAAAGGGATTGAAAATTAAACTGCTAGTATCATAATATCTTGATACAAATCTATGGTGCAACCACACTTGGAATACTGGGTACAGTTCTGGTTCTTCCTTCCTCTTAAGAACAGAACTTGGGGCCGTCCATTGAAGCAGAATATTGGAAGGTTCAGGACAGACAAGAGAAAGCACTTCTTCACACGACACAGAGTTAAGCTATAGAATTTGATCCCACAAGAGGTAGCAATGGCTACCAACATTGATGGTTTTAAAAGAGGATTAGGCGTTGATAGAGAATATGGTGATCAACTAGTCATGGCGGCTGTGCTCTACCTTCAGTATCAGAGGCCATATGCTGGAAGTAACAACTATGAAAACAAAATGATGCTAAAATAACCAAAATGTAAGCCAATAGGTTGCACTCATGTTCTGCTTGCCACAGCCTCTGTGAGAACAGGATGTGGGACTGCATGTGCCTTTGGCCTGGCCCAGCAAACTCTTATGTTCTTGATGGGGGGGGGGGAGATTTCAGGACTACAAATACTAGGCAAGGTACCCAGAATAGGAGATGCCAAATCGGAAAACCACCAATCTGCATCTGATTTTGAACTTAAGCACGTGCTAGGAAAGCTAGCGTAGGGAGGAGGGGGTGGAAATGGGTGCAGCCCCTTTATAGATGTTAGTGTAACTAACTATGTGCTACACAGCACAGGGTGTGTATGTGGAATTAAGAATAAAGCACGACTGGAAGGAAGGCGCCCGGGGCGCGAGCGCACGCGTGTGTGTTACGTGCCCAGCGGCAAACAGATCAGGATCAAGGACTGTGGCTACACGTGTGTATTGAGAGAGAGAGAGCGCGCGCGCCTTCGAGAAACCCCTACTTGACAGCTTTTCCTGTGTGAGCTTTGTGGCAAAACAAACGAGGTTGTTCTTTAAGGACTAACTTCTAGATCGGGAGAAGTTGAAGGATCGCCTCTGTAAGGCGGACCCGGGGGTGGACTGCTTCCCTTTCCCTCCCCACCCCCCGAGGCATCTCCTACGAACGAGAGAGGGGGATCTGGAAAGCGAGAGGCGAGGAGTACCGCCCACTTAACCTGCAAGGCGAACGGGGGCTCCTGGCGGAAGAGGGCTGGGGGCGCTGAAGAGGCCGGGGGAAGGAGAGGGGGGTGGGGAAGGGGAGGAGGAGGACGACGACCCGCCGCCCCTCACCGTCTCGTCAGGCTCCATGCGGATCTTGAAGGTCTGCTGCTGGAGGGTCTTCAGGGTGACGGTCACCGCCATGGCGGGCGGGCGGGAGGGAGGCAGGGGAGAGGGCGGCGGCGGCGGTAGCGGCGGCGGCAACTGGCGGTTCCTCCCAACGGACTCAGCTGGGGGTCCCCCACAACAACATGCAACTTCACGCCGCCGCCATTTTAATCGCGTCCGAGCGCCGCTTCCGCTCCCTGACGGGCCCTTCCCACGTGACAGGGGCCAAGGAAGACAGGCCGAGGTGTTCCTTAACCATAGAGTCAGGAAGGCTAGAAAACGCACGCACGTTTCCCGGCTTCCGGTTCGTTTCGGGGATTTCCGTTTCGCGCGCCTTCTGCGCAAGCGAGTACCGCCGTGGGAGGAGGGGGCGATTTAAGTTGGGGGTCGCTTTCGACGGGGATTTCTTTTCTGGGCATCCAACGTTAAGGAACAAAGAGGAAGTGACGCGGTACGATTTTCCCATGGGAGGACTCGGGGTTTTCTTCCGAGTAGGCGCCTCCAGCCTGTAAATATTGACAGGGCGACTGTACAATGCGCGACTGGTGATAGTTCCCCATCGCCTCCATGCCACCCTTCTTAATTATGGGTATATTTGCGTTCCCATTGCGATTCGGTATTTTCCCCAGGTGAATCAAGGTCCTTGTGCAGTACAGCATCAGCTACTGACTTTGCCTCTCTGTAGGGTATTAAAGGCAGCCGTTACATTTGCATGCCAGGTGAAAGAATGGCTCTAAATGTTAGCAATGATGTTGATTTCAGACAGTGGAAGCAGGTCTAGAATTTTGTACTGAATGGGAGCCCAGCCACGTGACAAGGACACTGACCATAGCTTTCCTTCCATATGGGTGAACTTCACCAAAGCAAGACTGAATACTCAAGTGATTCTCCTAAAAGGAAAGCCTTGCTTGTGCTAGAAAGTAACTCAATTCCTCATTGACAAGGGACAGGCCACAGCAGCTTTCCATAGGATGGGATGATAGCTTCAGGTAAGAGTCAACTAGAGAGTAGCCATGCTATCATTTATTTTCTACTATCCTATATTCTCTTTCAAGAGTAGAATTTTATATACTCTTAAACCACTTTTTGGCAAGTGACCTTGCTTTGCTATGGAGCACGTAGTAGCTCAGAGTACAACGATCATCCAAACACAGTACAACACAACAAATCTGTTTTATGGGCCAGACATGAAGTTTAATTTAATAGAAATTTTCTTCAATCTTCCATACATTCAAGTGTGAACAAGTGAGATGACTCCTCGTGTTAGTCTCTGCCTCCATAGGCTCTTCAGTTCCTAGCTCTCTGCCCGGACACATCTAAAGCAGAAATTTATCACCCCCACCCCTAGTGATCCTCCAGCTGAAGCTCTGCAATGACCACCACCACACCCTGACACACACAAGGCTGTCATATGAAATATCTAAAAGCTAAGGGTGCCATCCAAATTGGGTTAAAAGTAATAGTTTGCTTTGCCCATTGCACTTTGTGCTTTTTTAAAAAGCACCTGATTTGTCTAATGGACACAGCAGCAAAAGTGACTGTTACTACTCTTCGAACAAGACAGGATGTCAACATCCGTTGTCTTACACATCATACAATACTGGTTGTCTCAGTTTTTGTTTTCCTGGAAGCCATCTAATATTCTATTCCCAGGTATCCCACCCCTTTTAAGTATGAAACCGCCATTTGGAGCTTCAAGTATCTTAAAAGGATAAGCAAAAGGGCCAGCAATACAGGGGAGTTCTGCTTTATGGACATCCACTTCTGGAGGGTGACTGGAGTCAAACTTTAGTGAAAAAGTGGCCATATTCTTAAAAAGAAAAAGAAAAAGATGGTCAATGGCATCTTCCCCATTTCAAAGGGTTATGTTCCTACAGTTAGCCACCTTAGGACGCAGGTTCTAGTTCTCCCTCTACACACATGAATGAATAACTGATGACATTTGGGAAGAGGGTTAAGACAAACAAACACACCAATAAAAAAAAAGTTCTTTTGTCTCATAGAGACATTACTGTTATCCCCTCTCCTTTGTTGGGTTCAACCAAGCAGACTGCATGGTACAGGCCCAGGGCGAGGCTCAGCCAACAAGCACACCTAACCACCCCTAATCACAGCTCATCCTTCAGTGGGCCATCTGTTTCTTCCTCCTCATCCTTTTCTTCCTCTTCCTCCTCATCCTCTTCATCCTCCTCATTATCTTCACCCTCCGGCTCATCGTCTCCTTCCTCTTCTTTCTTCTTCTTGTCTTCTTCCTCCTGCTTCTTTCGTTGCTCCTCATCTTGCTGCTCTTTCATTTTCTTCTCAGCATCCTAGTGACAATTTAAAGGGATATATGTTCTTGAATAGGGGTTATCATATTAAGTAGGACTCAGTAGTATGGTGCTAAAGGCTTGAAAACCATGCAGCTGCTCTCATCTCTCAGCAAAGATATACAATACAATAGAAAATGTAACTTACAGAAGTTAGGCGATTGCTACAAGCTTTGAGTGTTTGTTCATTCCATACTTAAAAACTCATGGAGGGCAGATAGATGAACAAATACAACAGATAGTAAGCAAAAATCAAACCTCCATATTTAGACTGACAATTTCCCATTTGTGCACAATTGGCAAGGGGGCAGAACAGGGCAAGCTCATGCACATCCCATTGATGGATGCAGTGCCTCAGAATGCAACCTCTCCATGTAAATGGGGAGTTGCTTGCATATGAACGGGGGAAGGCCATCACTTCCATACCTTACCACTGTGTTTGACAAGGCACCTGACTATTAAAGAGAAGCTTGAGTCTTGGGCTCTGATCCACCAACTAACTTAGCTTTCTATATCCCACCCTTCAGCATACTATACTTCCAGGGCTAATCATGAAGTATTAAGAACATGATAAAAAGTAAGGAGCAGCAAAATAAAAGCAGTTGAAAACAAACAAACAAAAAACCAAATTTGATCTCAGAATAGAATCAGAGTTGAAAGAGACCTAACCCCCCCCCATAAGGGCTGGGTGATATTTGGTTTTGAATATTGTGCCATATCACCAGCTAAATACTGTGACATTACAAACATTGTGGTATACCAGTATAAGGATGGAGGAACATTGGCTGGCTTCATGGTTTTTCCTGTATCATTTTTGCCAGCGCCTGCTTTTATGATTCACTGCCCCCTGCTTGAGGCAGGGGAGAGCTGAGCCAGCAGAGCTAATACGGGCTGCAGGAATTGAGAGAAGCATTGGTTGGCTTCATGGTTTTTCCCACATTGTGATTTTTGCAACACACACCAGGATTCGTCTTATTTTGCAAGGCCAAAAATTATGAAACCAGTATCACAATATGGACTTCAAACCGGTTTTGGACGATATATTATAGAAGGAATGAGATTGAGGCCAAAAGTCATCCTCAACATTTTAACATAGTCCATAGCAGTTTCTAAAGCTCAGACTCTGGAACTTGCTCATTTGAAGTGGAGATGAAGATTATTCATTTAAAGCACTTTACAAAACCTAGGTAAAACTAGATGATGTGGTGATGACCCTGGCCATAAAGATCAAGAAAAATGACTCCTCACCTTGGTGGCACCCCAGGTTTCATTGCCAACTTCTTCAGCAAATTTCTCATCATCAGTAATCAGGAAGTTGTCAAAAATGGTGCCAGACTTGACCTGTAGCAAACAACAACAATGAGCTCCAATTTTTCTACATAACTCTAGGTGTCTCGGACAGCTTATAAAGCAATGAAGTGTTTCAGCATCACTTCCAATCACACTGTAAGTTGGTTTTTAAATCAGCCATAATTTCTCCACCATCCACTCCAGGTTCATTTAAGTATTTACACTCTACTTTTCTCTCATAAATCCTGCAGCTGAACACAGAATAAGACAGCACAAAATTGCCAATAGCAGCTGCTGCTTTTGATACCACATTTTGAATCAAGACCACCTTAATAGCATCTTAAAGTGTCTTAGATAAATATTGTTTATATGTTCTCTTTTATTACTACATCGTAGATATGGTATTCCTATAATTTGGTGTCTGTTTGGACACAAAATTAGATTTGAGACTGCTCACAACTTCTATTAACATTTATATTACTTATTTCAATAATTTTTATCCTGCTTCCCCACTAAATGAATGCTTGAGAAAATTGGCAGCTGTGGCAACTAATTTATCAAGTTAATATGTTTTCTGTTAAGTTACTTATAGTTTCTATGTCATCAAAGCATACACAACAGGAGTATAATATACAACAATCCTGAAAGGCAGGAATGCCACCAGTAGATCAATACATTCAGATGTCGGGGCAGGAAGCATTGGAAAAACAGGAAACTATGCAAACTTGCATCCTTAGATAACATTCTTCTATGCTTAACATCTGACCTGAACTTTTTAATAGTAAGCTTCTAGCCAGGTATATGAATGTGGTAACTTCTCTTATGTTGTTTGTTGTGAACTGAGCATGGAGAAGTGGGATATTGTATCAAGAACTCACCTGCCACAAGTCCAAGCCAATGACACCAAAGTTTTCAAAGAAGTAAAGGTCGGGATCAGGAGTGTACTCAGGATTATCTATCTCGGGATGAATCCATTTCCCTTTGTAGTTGGGGTTGTCTATCTGACGAGGTTTCCACTCCCCCTGCAAAAATATATTAATAAAAAATATAGGAAATCCAGAACCTATTATAACTGACACACAGAGCCAGTTTTAAAATAAATCTCCAATACTTAAGTGGCCAGCACATTTGATAACTTAAGCATGGAAGGGACAAAAGAATAAAAAATGAATGGTTTACATTAATTCCAGTTTTAATTCAACCTTCTTATACATGTATGTGTACATTCCACATAAGGCTCTGGTGGCGTTTTAAAAAAGGACACCAATTACTGTACTTTTCAGTGTATAAGACTAGGTTTTTTTTCTAAAAAAAAAATAATCATGTTTAAGATAGGGGGTCGTATTATACATGGATTGTGCATGGGGAAACGTGGGATTGGTTGATGCCACGAGCCGGAGATTGTGTGCAGTGTGTTATTGTTGTCTGCGACAAGGTGATTGGGTGTCACTGCGGCAATTGGGGGAAGACCTTAGGAGGATGTTGTGACACACGCATGTTAGCATTGGTCAGGCAGGTGAGTGATTTCCCCCCAAAAAAGCTCAACAACTCTGGGCAACCTCCCCTCATTTTCTTAATTTTTAGTCCCCCAAAATAGGG